TCATTTATCTCATATATGGCATAAAGTTGCGAAAAAGTTCCTTTTGAACTCGCATTCGAGCTGCTTAGCGACACGTGGCCTCAGCGGCAGAGGTAAAGTTTCCCTCCCGCTCCTAGCTGCAGTGTAAAGTATATTAAGTATACGCCGTGATATGCCTCCCCGGCGGATACTTTACTTTTATTTACTTGTCGCTGGGCATATTAAATTTCCACCGCCATCCCAGCATCCCCACAATATATATTTTCCCACAAAGTTGAATGAATTTGTTACTTTCAAGGCCTTTTCCATCGAATTGCTTTCCTTTCTGGGGGGGGGCCCTGCGCGAATTGAATTAAATTGTGCGATTGAAGCATAAATAAATTCATTAAATACTTTTAACGAATAGACTGTTTTTCCAACTAAGGCCTTCGATCTGCGCCTGGTGCCTGGCTCAACAGGTTATGGGCTCACCACCGTTCCACCTGAACCCAGTCCGAGGACAAGTACAAGTCCAAGTCCAAGTGGGGACTTGACCTTCCCAATGCGTTTTATTGATTCAATCATAAAAATAACTGCAGGATGTTTTGGAATTCCTTTTTGTGGTCTGTATTTGTATCTGTATCTAACCGTGTGCTCAGCCACTCAATGCATTTCTTATCTTGTAAACTCAATGCCGGTGCTGTCTCGCAGCTGCCTCATTATGGATGAATTTCAATAGGGCCGAGTGATTGACAATAAAGTCAACTGCAAAGAGCGTTGTATTATTGCCCGAACAATGAACGAAACTTAAAATCACGAACTGTATAGCTAAAGAGAAATATTCAAAGGAAAACTATTCGAACACATAGAGAAAAATAAAGCAAATTGCGAGGTCATAGAGGAAAATTAACTGAAATAATTATTAAAACGTGAATCGGAATCGCATTAAAAGTTAAAAACATTTAAAAACTATATTTTATTGTGATGTATTAAAACGGTTTTAGGAATCGTAAGATTTATATGTGAAATCTTATCCTTTAAACCTACGTTGTAAAATCATTTACATAAAAATATATTCATATAAGCGATCAATTTAGAGAAATTTTTTTGGATTTATTTTTTGTAATATATATTATTTTTTTACATTGCACAAGTTACCATCTTAACCTTCACCTTTGTTTCGGACTGACTTTAAGCTTACTATTTTCCTCACTTGTGTGAAATTAAAGCAGAGCTCTTTTACTTTTAGCCGGCTTTTGTTCAAGCGCCGTGCCCAGTCCCAGCGGCTTACAGTAGAGATTAAATTAACTACCTATTAGCCTTGGACCTGCCCTTTGACCCTCTCTCGCCGGATGTATGTATGTATGTATCCTTTTTTTAGCCACCTTCCTTTCGCCCAGGGAACTTAATATGCATCATCCTCATCAGCCAGGGTCCCAGTTAATTTCACCTTTTGGGGACTATAGTGGTAATCCTGCAGACAGGCTTAATGCCCGCACATGCCAACAAGCTCCGGCAGCATAATGCGTCAAATTGCTAATTAAGAACTGCAGCAGTGGCAACTTTTTGCCCCCCCGCTCCGATCAGTGGCCATGTCATTAGGGTCCAGAGAAGCGGAGAAAGGCAAAAGGAGAAAAAAAACGGGGGAATCCCACCCGAAAGGGGAGGCCAAAGGACTGAGCTTGCGTGTTAAGATATTTGATTATGACAAACAGCACACGGACGCACACACACGCTCACACTCACATACCAATTAGCTGAAGGCGTGTCCTTTAGCTCTGAAAAGTAGACTCCGCTTTTTTGTTGATACGCTGGTCATTCAACTATTTGCTCCAAAAACCTACACAGAAGCCGAAACGAATTTGTGTCACGTCACAGTGGCGGGAGAGTCGCAAAAAAGAGGCTAAAACTAATTAAGGGCTTAAAGATAGCGACAGTGAGCGAGCGAGCGATTAAAAATAGTCCAAGTGGAGGCTGCACACGCCTATTTTTAGGGTCAACCCTGGGGTCAAGCACTCCTCCGCGGCTAGACAGGGCGCCTGCCACCTGTGCGTCGACTAACCAACGATGTCTAATCCACCACCGAAACCCGGGACACATTTAAAAACCACCAATTTATTTGCGTTGTGGCGCCACAAGAAGGGTTTTTTGGGCAGCCCACTGAGGCTGCAATAATGCGAATTGATTTTCGCCAGCTGCAGACAACGCCGCATCCGTATCCGTATCCACATCCGCAACCGTATCCCTATCCGCATCCGTTGCCTCAGGACATATACCGCCAAAACAAGTCACTCAGCAAAAAAGTGAGATTAAATTTGGACTTTTAAATTGAAACTTTGAATGATAAGATCTATAAAATAATTGATAAGTAAAAAATAGAGTATCGAAATTAATTCAATAACTTGAAGATATAAAGATTCAAGAAGAGTCACTTCTTATAAGAAATAATCTCTGATATTTCTTTCTGTGCAAAACATCCATCACCACACCCGAAACACAATTTGCTGCAAAACTTCCAATTCGAATTTTACGCCTAAATACTTGAGGAAATTGTTGATTTGATTTTGGCCGCGTGAAAACTTTTTAATTAATTGGCCCCGACTTGGCAGTTGCTCTATTTGCCGTTTTTAGTGCCTTTATGGGAGTGCGGATCTGGTTTTGGCTCTGGAATGGTCAATGGGTTTCGGGCCATTTGAATGGCAAACGTGACCCAAAAGTTGTTGGCCCATGTTTTTGGCCATCTTCTCCGGAAGTGGACGTGACAGTAATAGGTCATGCTCGATTCCTTCCGATTTTCCGACGCGGCCCCAATAAAAAGTTAGCTTTATTTGATTTTGATTTGATATTTTTGAGTAGAACATAAATTTACCTTCGTTTTTCGTGTTGAAAGTTTCGTGCGTTTTTATGGTTTTTGGTCAGCAAAACTCTGATAACTTTTTTAATGTGATTCGGAATGTCTGAACTAAATTATCTACAATTTACTTTTCTTTTTTAAACAATACACTTTAATTAAATTTAACAAAGAGCAAAGTAATTAAATACTTTTATTGACAATAATCTTGAAGTGATAACAATGTCGGATTGAAGTTTTTGTTTGGCACTTGTAAAAGGAAAGGGTAAATATAAGAAATTTTAATTAATATTAATTATGTAAGTTAATTATTGTTTTTTGTTAAAGGGTTTTTAAGGTGTTTCAAGTGGGACTCATAAATATTTTGTTACACCTTGACTAGATGTAAGTTCTTTAACTGCACTCAAATTATTTAGAAATGCACTTATATTGGGTAGACATCTTCAGAAGTAGAATTATAATTATTTGTCTTCTAATTAAATCTCTTTGTATATTAATTTACCTTTATATTTTTATTTACTCTTCGTATATTTACACTCAAATTCTATATTACATTTTAAAATCTTAATCCAGTACGAGTTATTTTAATTTAAATTAATTTACTGAGGCTTCCACTTATAAAAACTTTGCTGAAACAAAATTGAAAAACTTCGTTTCTGTAATATCTGCCTTGAAGTGCTCCTTACGCACAATTTCCGGCGGGATTCGCATGCACACAAATTCACTTTTCACTTCTCGGCTTTTCCAGCATCCATCGCGGCGGCGTAACTCAATTTAAAATTCTTTTCAATTAATTGAATTTCGACTAATTACACGCACTTAGCACCTTGACGGTTTCCGATGGCTTCCAACGTTTCGAGAAGTGTCAGAGGAAAGGCGCGCCAAAAGGACTTCCGAACGCGACCGCCTTCGCTGGCCGAGTGACAATGCGTCGTATACGCAACTTCCTGCCGCTCAGTGTCGCTTTCCATCGGCTACTGAACGGCCGCTCGTTGTTTTTGCCGACAAACCGACGTGGAAGCAACAAGCGCGCACGCCAATCGTCCAGGAGCGGACTTGTCAGGCCCCGTTGCGAGCGGGGCTCCCCTATAAATCGGGTTTATTTGCTCACGCCCGCATTCCCAGTGACATCACCCATCCCCCAGCCCTAGTACACTCAGTGTTAGATGCGTAATAAAAACGTCTGCATAATTAAACACCGGAGATTTCACTTAATCTGCGCACACTTGACATATTTATCATATTTATTGCCGTGCGCCCAAGTCAGACGACGTGGACCAGCGGCAGGCAACCACCTGTTAGCGTGGCGCCACCGCCATGTTAGCCAACAGCAAGTTGCTCGCGCTGAGCTTTGCTGTTAATTGTGTTGGTCAAGAGCCATGCACGAGCTTTCGATAACAGCGGTCGATTCACGTAAATGTTAATCAAATGGATTGCCTATAACTTGGAAATAAATGCCTTTATTTTGTAAGACATTCAAAGATATGAACATAAAAGAGGGTTAATAAAAACAGTCGCATTTTTAATTAATTTTAATTTTGAATTTTATTTAGGGTACATCAACTTAGGGTTCGCGAAAAGCTTTATCGCTTCTTTATAAAAATATTTCTAAATATTTTCTGACTTTGTGCGTGAATTTCAACTATTGTGTTCATATATTGAAAAGAACAGAATAATTGATCAATTATGTTCTGTCTCTGAAAAATATTAAGCAACATATAAGAATTATATTTATATACTTAAAAAATATTAATAAAATTTTTTTTTATATATATATGTAGTTTAAATATTATAACTTTCTTTCAAATTCGGCCAAAACTAAATTCGAAATAAGCCCAATTATTATCTTTATAGCTATTTAAAATGTGTTTAAAACTAGAAAACTGCTCTGTCAGGCTAAATTTGGTTCTAAAACGTGCCATAGCTAATTCCTTAATTTTAATGTTATTTTCTTATTATTATTATAACTATTTTATCTCGATTTCTTTTGGCCAGCTCGTATTCCACCTTGTTTATATTTAAATTTTGTTGTTCAGGTTTTTATATTAGTTCATACTAATATATATACTGTCACCCTGTGAGCAATAATAATACCGGTCTGCAACAACATATCTTCAGATAGATTTTGCACTTTGTAGCGCACAGACCAGACGTTGTTTAAAATTAGATCTCCCGGTAGAGTCTCCGAATTATGTGCGGCATCTTTTCCATATTTTCACGGGATGGAGAACCGATTCCCCCGCAAATCCTGCATGGAAGCAAACACAGCTTGAGGGAGCTGGCCTACCGGCAAAGTGGAAAGCAGCGGCATCGAGGCCCGGACTCCACGGGCGTCTATGTAATCGCCTCGGAAGGAGTGGCCATGGTGCACGAACGCCTGCAGATCGTGGGTGTGGCGGAAGGCGATCAGCCCTTTGTCTCCGAGGATGGGAACCTCATCCTGGTGGCCAACGGAGAGATCTACAACTACCTGGAACTATCGGCGGAGATTGCGAAGAGACGTGGCTCCTACAACCCCAAAAGCGATTGCCACGTGATTCTGGAACTGTACAAGGATTACGGAGTGGACCTTCTGGATCACATTAGCGGGATGTTTGCGTTTGCCTTGTATGATCGAAGGACTAAGGAGGTCCTGCTTGCCCGTGATCCTGTTGGCATTATACCCATGTATGTCGGAGAGGATGAAGCTGGAAACCTGTGGGTAGCCTCGGAGATGAAATGCCTGGTGGACATCTGCCCAAAGGTGGAAACTTTTACGCCAGGGGCGGCTCGTTTTGGAAAGGTGGGCCTGCTGCAAACCTGCTGGCAATTCCAGCAACAATGGATTAAGAATGTTCCCACCCAACACTGTGATTTGGTCTTACTTCGTTCCAAATTGGAGTCGGCGGTTAGAAGTCACCTCCAGTGCGATGTTCCCTTTGGAGCCTTACTCTCCGGAGGAGTGGATTCCAGTCTTATAGCCTCTATAGCCACAAAAATTATGCGAAAAAAGGACCCAAACTTTCGACTGAAAACCTTTTCTGTAGGTCTAAAAGATGCCCCCGATTTAAAAGCCGCCAGACTTGTGGCCAAGTATATAGACAGCGATCACAAGGAAATTTTCTTTAACGTCGACGAGGCTCTTGATAACATCAGGGACCTTGTATATCATCTAGAAACGTACGATGTATCCACAGTAAGATGCAGTATCCCAATGCTCTTACTCGCTAGAGATATCAAGAGCACTGGCATCAAGATGAGCCTGTCCGGCGAAGGAGCGGATGAACTCTTCGGAGGTTATCTGTACTTCCACAAGGCTCCAAACTACGAGGACTTCCACGAGGAGTTGGTGAAGAGAGTGCGCCAGTTGCACTTATCCGACTGTCTCCGTGCCAATAAGGTGACCATGGCCAAGGGTCTGGAATTACGGGTCCCCTTCCTGGACACGGGATTCGTAAACCATGTGATGCAGATCCGGCCGGAGGATAAGATTCCAGGACCGCTCAACAAATTCGGAGGGGAGCAGCAAAAACGGATGGAGAAGTACGTCCTGAGAGCTGCCTTTGCGGACAATTATCTTCCAGACGATGTTCTGTGGCGGCAGAAGGAGCAGTTCTCGGATGGGGTGGGCTACGATCTGATCCACTGCCTCCGACAGGATACAGCCAGCCACGTGACCGATGAGGAATTTACCGGAGCAGCGCTTAGGTTTCCCTTCAATACACCTGCCACCAAGGAAGCATATTACTATCGCTGCATCTTCGCCGAACAGTTTCCCGGCGAATCTGCTATGAGAACTGTAGTAAAATGGGCGCCACGGCGAGATTGGGGCTGTCCGGAGGATCCCTCTGGTTTGGCTCAGGCCGTCCACCAGACCCATAAAGAGTAATTGTTCGGAATTGTGTATATAAGACTACTTGATAATACACTAATATTAAAATTACTTGTTTAAAATAATGCTAAGCATAATTTTCTGCAAACGAATGTCATTAAATATTAATAATAAAATATTCACTTACATGGGATCTTTGGATAAAACCAAAGAAATAGTAATAGAAATCATCCGAATTTGTAATAAGTTTTTGGCAATAAATTGTTTTTTAAATGAATAAATATATATAAGAAATGTATTGTTGGCAAAAGAGCATTGGGGAGGCAAACATAAAACCGGTCTCCGTTAATTTGTAGCACGTTTTCATAAGTATCACTGGCAAGCTGCCAATATTGACCACGAATGAGAGAAATAGGACACTTGTTAATACTCTTTTCTCTTAGGCATTAATACTATTTAAGATGAAAATATATTTATAAAACAATATTCTCATTACAAGCCGCTTAACATTAATGTACTTTTAGAAATGCATATTTCAATAAACATATGTAATTTGGTAATATTTTATTATATATTTAACATTGATATTGTGACATGAATTTTAAATAATAATAATATTCGTATAGATACAAGCTTTTTTATCTTTAGATTGCCATGTTACGTTTTACTAATAATATTTATCCTCAAAATGATATGGTGATTATTAAATAAACTTATTTGACACATATCAATAGATCCAATTTGATATATAGACAGATTTGTTTCAAAAGATATATGCTTTGTTAAAGAGTAAATCGGATGACGAAATAGTTGATAAAGTATAATCAGTGCTGAATCGGAGAGAATCGCGAGAGTGTCAGCAAAAAAGAGAGCGAGGTAAACAAACACCACCCGGCGTTTAAATGTTTTATCAATTATTTTGTAGGTCAGACTTCTTCCACTTTTGATAAGATTTGCTGAATAATAAATAAAGCATTTCGGGGAAGCCATCATCTTTTTCATTGGTAATTATTAAAGAGCAACAAGTGTCTCCTCAGATGTTAACTGAAGACGAGCTGGTTCTAGAAGTTGGCTGACGAAACTGGTGAGCACATGGTAATCAGCATTACTATTTCACTGAGAGAAAATGAGAGGTTTTGAGAGAGTGAAAGCTATCTGGCCGAGGGAGCTTTCCTATAAATAAGCGTTTCCCTCTAGAAACCTCTCCATTCAATTTTTGCACTTCGCTACGCGCGGTACTAGCTTGTATTAAATTACTTTAATTAAATTCGTTAAGGAAACCATACATAATGTGCGGCATCTTTTCCATATTTTCACGGGATGGAGAACCGATTCCCCCGCAAATCCTGCATGGAAGCAAACACAGCTTGAGGGAGCTGGCCTACCGGCAAAGTGGAAAGCAGCGGCATCGAGGGCCGGACTCCACGGGCGTCTATGTAATCGCCTCGGAAGGAGTGGCCATGGTGCACGAACGCCTGCGGATCGTGGGTGTGGCGGAAGGCGATCAGCCCTTTGTCTCCGAGGATGGGAACCTCATCCTGGTGGCCAACGGAGAGATCTACAACTACCTGGAACTATCGGCGGAGATTGCCAAGAGACGTGGATCCTACAACCCCAAAAGCGATTGCCACGTGATTCTGGAACTCTACAAGGATTACGGAGTGGACCTTCTGGATCATATGAGCGGGATGTTTGCGTTTGCCTTGTATGATCGAAGGACTAAGGAGGTCCTGCTTGCCCGTGATCCTGTTGGTATTATACCCATGTATGTGGGAGAGGATGAGGCTGGAAACCTGTGGGTTGCCTCGGAGATGAAATGCCTGGTGGACACCTGCCCAAAGGTGGAAACTTTTACGCCAGGGGAGGCTCGTTTTGGAAAGGTAGGCCGGCTGCAAACCTGCTGGCAATTCCAGCAGCCCTGGCTCAAGGAGGTTCCTAGCCAAGCCTGCGAGTTGTCATTACTTCGTTCCAACTTGGAGTCGGCGGTTCGTAGCCATCTGCATTGTGACGCCCACTTTGGAGCCCTACTGTCTGGAGGAGTGGATTCCAGTCTCATAGCTTCTATAGCTACGAAGATTATGAGGGAGCGGGATCCCAACTACCGATTGAAGACATTTTCGGTCGGTCTACAGGATGCACCCGATTTCGAGGCTGCCAGGCATGTGGCCAAGTTTATAGACAGCGATCACAAGGAAATAATCTTCGAAATCGATGACGCCCTTGATGGAATCAGGGATATTGTCTACCACCTGGAAACGTACGATGTCACCACTGTGAGATGCAGCTTGCCCATGTTGCTGCTGGCCAGATACATCAAGAGCACTGGCATCAAGATGATCCTGTCCGGCGAAGGAGCGGATGAACTATTCGGCGGTTATCTGTACTTCCACAAGGCTCCAAACTACGAGGACTTCCACGAGGAGTTGGTGAAGAGAGTGCGCCAGCTGCACTTATCCGATTGCCTGAGGGCCAACAAAGTGGCTATGGCCAAGGGAGTGGAGCTGCGAGTGCCCTTCCTGGACACGGGATTTGTAAACCATGTGATGCAGATCCGACCGGAGGACAAGATTCCAGGACCGCTCAACAAATTCGGAGGGGAGCAGCATAAGCGGCTGGAGAAGTACGTCCTGCGAGCTGCCTTTGCGGACAACTATCTGCCGGACGATGTTCTGTGGCGGCAGAAGGAACAGTTTTCCGATGGAGTGGGCTATGACTGGATCGACAGCATCCGGCGAGTGGCCACGAGCCATGTGACGGATGAGGAGTTCGCTGGCGCAGCCCTCCGATTCCCCTTTAACACGCCCAGCACCAAGGAGGCGTACTATTACCGCAGCATATTCGCCGAGCTATTTCCTGGGGAGTCCGCTGCCCGAACCGTTGTGAGGTGGGTGCCCCGTCTGGATTGGGGCTGTCCGGAGGACCCATCTGGAAGGGCTCAAGCCGTCCACCAGGTTAACAAAGACTGAGAACTTAACTTAATTAATTAAATTAGTCATGTACAAAAGAATACATATTTCTAACAAATAGTCGACTCGAGAGGCGTTCAATTAGCTTAAATATGCACTTATTTAGCCATCTGATACGGCGCCAGGTCTACAGTTACAACGTTTTTCGCCATATGGGCTCAATTGAAGGCACGTGCAGTCTACTTGGCATCAGTATACATTTGTTTGAATATGAATATGTATGAAAAAATAACAACTGTCAATTACAATTAATATGCAAAGTAATATGTACATATTACTCTTTGATAATAAAAACGTCAATCAAGACTATTGATTTTGTTTTTTGCGACACTATGTAGTGGGTGTATTTGTTGAAGGGCGCTTTGTTTAATGCTGTAATTATTCAAAAATATATAGAAGGATGATATATTTTATTTAACATTATATTTTTTTTATGAGTACATTTACAGAGAAGAATGTTTAAATCTTGATTTAAGTTTTTGAATACGTTTTGACAAGTGCTTCGCGTCAAAAAATTATGTTTAAAGCTTTTATTCTTGTTATAATTTCAAATAATTAAGTTTTAAGAAAAATTAACATTTAAATATATGTATACAAAGAAAAACTATCAATTCGTGAAATTAATATTTTATTTCAAAGAAAACTGGGAGCATATGTTTACTTTTTTTAATTATTTGTAATTTTATTTCTTAAGATCATTAAGCTAACTAAGGATTTTGGATTGTAAATATCTCCTTTTTAATTTAAAATAAGACAAATCAATTCAAACCATTTAGTTGGCAACGCAGGTCTATGCTTACCGTTTATTCCAATTGGCAACCCGAAAGGAACGTAAAGCAACCTACGTAGTGACCATTACGTAGTCATACCGAAATTAAGAATACCGATTTCGATATATTTACTAAGTTAAACAGTAGGATGAATAAACCATGTCCGTGCGTAAGCCGAAATGACCAATATTATGATGATAGGTAACGCAAGTTAGGAAAAATTTGATCATTCTTAATTTAAAATAGAAAACATGGTTATACTGAATTAAGAACAATATCGATATTTTTATAACGTTTTACGCTATACATATCGATAGCTACCTATCGATGTCAGTTTGGTCACACTGTTCGTCTTTATCGAGTGCGGTCACACTGTCGACTTTGTAATTTTTTTCGCAAGGCTAAATCGCTGCTTAAATTAAGCTATAATCTGTGTAATCCACGCGCTAATCGTGCCAGACAGGTGATCCCATGCAGCAATGCAGCAAAATATGATGTTTGCCGGGCACTGCAAACGCTCGGCGACTGCAAATAAAGTGCAAATTCTCTGACCCCAGCGCGTCACCCAAAAGAGAGACAGAGTGAGAGAGAAAGAAAAAAGTTGACGCGAGCAGCGCTGCCGAAGACGTTGGAATTCGTGCTCCGCCGCAGCTGCTGTTGTGGTTGTTGTTGCTGCCGCCGCCGCTGCTGTCGCACAGCAATAACGGTAGAGAGACCAACAACAACAACAAATACAAATGTCAAAGTGAAACTGACTGCGCTGCCCCAAGAACAACAATAACAATAACAATACGCGGAACATTATTAGGAAGAGCAAAACTGTGATCTCTGCTTTTCGGGGCAATTGTTCAATTTGGCTGTGCTCGAAAGTAAATTTAGTCAACTCGTTACGCGTATTTGCGGCCATCGGCAGACGTTTCTCCACTGGCGGCTGGAAAATCAATTCTTCGGACTGCCAAAGGGCAGCAACGAGCAGCAGTTGTTGTGTTAAATTTATTTTGCGGCCCAGCCCAAAACAAAACGAGAGGAGAAAGAAGCAGAGGCAGAGACAGAGGCGTAGCAGAAGCAGCGCAGCCGGATTTGCAAATAGGTATGTGTGTTGGAGTGCTGGTGTGTTGGTGTTTGTGTGCGTGTGAGTGCGTATCCCAAAGATACAAATGCAAAAAATGTGTTAAAAAAGCCACTAAACTTGAGCGAATCACTTCCTTAAACGCTCTCCGCACCATTCTCTCTCCCTCTCGTCAGCGAGTGACATTTAGCAGCGGAATGACGTCGTCGCCGGCAGTTTTTGAACAATTAATTAACCAAAAAATCGGCCAGCTGTCGCCAAACATTTAGTTAGGTTAAGATACTGCACGGCGAGGCACACACCGAGGAAATCTGATTAACAAGTTCGTATCTTATCGCCTTCAGTAGAGGTGAATATAAAAGGAAAACCCTGAGAAATAGTTACGAAAGCAGACTTGCCCGTGAAGTTGTGTTTGTTGATGTTTTTATAAATAGAAAATTGCGTATGCAAATGCTAATTTGTAGCTTCGCTTCGCAGTTCTCTCGACAAAGTTACAAGCTCTCCCGCTCACTTTTGGCTCGCTGCTGCTCTCTCAACAAGTCGCTGTTGTTGCTTGGCAATTGTTGTTGTCATTTAGCAATATTATCTCATTCGGCCCGTTCCATTGCCATATAAATAATACAGGGCTCACTCGACACAAAAGACCCATTAGCACCAGTGGTACTTCTAATTTACCCTAACAGTTACTTGTATTATTCAGTTAAATCCACCACTAACATGGACACAAACGTTGTTGTTTCCAAAGCTTGACAATCGATAAAATGAGTTTGCATTGCTAGTTGTCTATTTTGCTCGCAAGAAGTTCGAATAATATATTGTGTTATCACACTATCTAGTAATGTTTTTACAAAAGAATAATCTAATATTCCTTGCTTTGAGTGAGCACTGTAAATATTATTATTGCTCTCCGCACACACAAATTGTTGGATTGTGACGGCAGCGCACACACTGCCAAAAATTGAAATCGCGGAATCCCAAATACAAATCCATATATTGTTCTCCGAGCTTCCTGTACACCGCCTCCGCCACAGCCACCCAGGTTTGCACCCGCCGAGGCTTAGACTGACTTCGTCACGCTCTCGGCGCTTGTGAGATGATTCACGTTTTGTGCACGTAACAACGCCCCACCATCTGGATGCCCATATATCCCTCCCGTCTCCTCGCCAACTCCGGTGGCCAAGTATCCGTGTATCCGTGTATCCGTGCCCATCCCCACCCGCACAGCCATTCACCTACTTTTCCAGCTCTCCGCTCCCAGCTCTTATTCTCTGTACTGCTCCACTCCGCTCTTTATCGCTATTCTGGCTCTGTGACTTCACCTCACACGGAAATTGTTGCCCACTTGGCCAATTGCTGCGGCTGTTGCGCTGCTGCTTCTATCCACTTTTGGGCTTCCAGTGCGCACGAGCAGTGAATTCCAGCAATTTGAATGCGATAAATGAGAGTGTAAGGGATTTGGCGGGAACATTTTGGGAAGGTCGACGACAACAGCATCCTATTAGTCACAGCTTTAGATTTTTTTTATCCAAGCCGTAGTTTGCTGGTCGATCCAGGAAGTGTAAGGTGGTTTTAAAACATATTATATACATTATATTAAAACATTTATCCATAAAATTTGAGTTAGCAAAAATAAAACTAGTTAATTATAGTAAAACTGTTATCAATAAAAGCAATTCTTTTAAAAGGCTTCGGGACAGTGAAATTTAAAAGAAACCTGCACACATGTTTTACAGAGAAATTAATTTTATTAAGTGCTAGCAAGAGTTTATTAGTGTCTCAATTGTCCAAACAATTCCCATGAATGAACCTGTTGATTGATACCTTATAACTTAAATAAACAAATAAATAAGCATTAGTACATTTTCAGTGTTTACAAGTACGTTGTTTGATAATTTTTAAGGAGATGATTTAAAAGTTTGCTATTTTAAAAAGATTTTGAAAATATAATAGAATTAAATTTATCGTCAACGAATCCAAACTGTTTTAATCGTTATTCTTATATTATTACATATATGTTTTTAATACCTAGATTTTTACGCCACTCCACTTTCTGGTCAGGCCATCAATTTTCAATTTATCTCTGCAAACTCTTTTATAGTCACTGCATCCTTGAGCCAATATTGGCAACCCCCTCATGCAATTTTAATTTAATTTGCGAAACACTGCAGCACGTGGACTAACTCTGAATCCTGGTTTATTGCAGTTGCCGCAGCGCAGAGGTGTGGATAGACACTAGCCACGATGGCGTACCGCAAGCCCAGCGATCTGGACGGATTCATCCAGCAGATGCCCAAGGCAGATATGCGCGTGAAGGTGCAGCTGGCCGAGGATCTGGTGACATTCCTGAGCGACGACACAAACTCTATTGTATGCACGGACATGGGCTTCCTCATAGATGGACTCATGCCGTGGCTGACTGGTAGTCACTTTAAGATTGCACAAAAGTCTCTGGAGGCCTTTTCGGAGTTGATCAAGCGGTTGGGCAGCGACTTCAACGCTTACACAGCCACCGTGCTGCCACATGTGATCGATAGGCTGGGGGACAGTCGAGACACGGTGCGCGAGAAAGCGCAACTGCTACTGCGCGACCTCATGGAGCACCGAGTGCTGCCACCGCAGACGCTGATCGACAAGCTGGCCACGAGCTGTTTCAAGCACAAGAACGCCAAGGTGCGCGAGGAGTTCCTGCAGACCATAGTGAATGCTCTACACGAGTATGGCACCCAGCAGTTGAGCGTGCGCGTCTATATTCAGCCAGTAAGTGCCCTTTTGGGTGATCCCACTGTAAATGTGCGGGAGGCAGCCATTCAAACTCTTGTGGAGATCTACAAGCACGTGGGCGATCGCCTGCGGCCGGATCTTCGCCGAATGGATGACATGCCCGCCTCCAAACTGGCGCTGTTGGAGCAAAAGTTTGATCAAGTCAAGCAGGAGGGACTGTTACTGCCCTCCGCCCTCAAAAACGCCAATGGCAACGGCAATGGTAACGGCTTGGGCCTGGACGAGGCGGACAACATTGGGATTAGGGAGCGACCCACGAGGATGATCAAGAGACCGCTGCACTCGGCCGTCTCCTCAACGTTGCGATCTAAACCAAGTGCGACCGACGTGAGTGGTGATGCTGGCGCAGTGACCATGGAGATCTTCGAGGCTAGCTTCGAGGTCGTCCCGCAGCTGAACATCTTTCATGCCAAGGACATGGACGATATATACAAGCAAGTACTGGTCATCATTAGCGATAAGACCGCAGATTGGGAGAAGCGTGTCGAGGCGCTGAAGAAGATTCGAGCACTCCTTATCCTCAGCTACCACACGCAACCGCAGTTCGTGGCTGTGCAGCTGAAGGAGCTGTCACTGGGCTTTCTGGACATCCTCAAGGAGGAGCTCCGCTCACAGGTGATCCGCGAGGCTTGCATCACTATTGCCTACATGTCCAAGACGCTGAGGAATAAGCTGGACGCCTTCTGCTGGAGCATTCTGGAGCAGCTGATAAACCTGATTCAGAACAGCGCAAAGGTCATAGCCTCGGCATCCACGCTGGCCCTGAAATACATTATCAAATACACGCATGCCCCGAAGCTGCTCAAAATCTATACGGACACGCTGAATCAGTCCAAGTCAAAGGATATCCGGTCAACACTGTGTGAGCTAATGGTACTGCTTTTCGAGGAGTGGCAGACCAAGGCGTTGGAGCGGCATTCCACCATTCTGAGGGACGCACTGAAAAAGTCGATCGGGGATGCAGACAGCGACGCGCGACGGCATTCCAGGTGCGCCTACTGGGCGTTCAGAAGACACTTTCCGGATCTGGCCGATCAAATATACGGTACTCTAGATATAGCAGCCCAGCGAGCATTGGAACGGGAGCGAGAGGGTGGCAGTAGTTCTGGCAGCTCAGTGGCGGCACCGGAAACAAGACGCACCGTGTCCCGCATTGGCAGAGCTCCGGGAACCCTGCAGAAGCCTACGCCCAGTATGCGTTCCATTTCGGCGGTCGACACGGCGGCAGCCCAGAGAGCCAAGGCCAGAGCGCAATACACATTGTATTCGAGGCAAAAGAAGCCGCTGGTGCCTAGCAATTCTATCGCCCAGGGACCGGGATCCGGAGCGGCGGGCAGTGGGTCCCTGCCCAGGCCGCGTCTGAATTCCAACAGCGGAATTACACCGGCGACCACGCCGGGAGTTGTTACGCCTCGATCCCGGGGAAGAGCAGGTGTTTCCCAGTCACAGCCAGGATCACGTTCCACCTCGCCAAGCACAAAGCTGCGGGATCAGTACGGCGGCTTAGGTGGCTATTATCGTGGAGCCACAGGCGCAATACCCAAAAAGGCTTCTGGAATTCCACGAAGCACGGCCAGCTCCAGAGAAACAAGTCCCACCAGATTGGGTGGCGGCCTAATGAAACGCAGCATGTACTCGACGGGAACGGGAACGGGATCGCGACGGACGCCGGAGAGGAATAATCCCGTGAGGCCCTCGGCAGCTGCTCGTCTTCTGGCGCAATCCCGCGAAGCAGAACACACATTGGGCGGACCAGCGGATGACGGACAGGAGAACTATGTGTCAGGAGATTATATGCGCAGCGGAGGAATGCGGATAGGCAGGAAACTGCTGGGCCGGGATGAGTCGGACGACATTGACTCCGAGGCCAGTTCTGTGTGCTCAGAGCGATCCTTTGACTCCAGCTACACGAGGGGCAATAAATCGAACTATTCGCTGAGCGGCAGCCACACCCGCTTGGACTGGAGCACGCAGCGGGCGCCCTTCGATGACATCGAGACGATTATCCAGTTCTGCGCCTCCACGCACTGGTCAGAGCGGAAGGATGGACTCATTAGCCTTACGCAGTATCTGGCCGATGGCAAGGAGCTGACCCAGCAGCAGCTGCAGTGCGTGCTGGACATGTTCCGCAAGATGTTCATGGACACGCACACCAAGGTGTACTCACTGTTCTTGGACACAGTCACCGAGCTGATCTTGGTGCATGCTCCTGAACTGCACGACTGGCTCTTCATCCTGCTGACGCGGCTGTTCAATAAGCTGGGCACCGACCTCCTCAACTCGATGCACAGCAAGATCTGCAAGACGCTGCAGGTGGTGCACGAGTACTTCCCCACGCAGTTGCAGCTCAAGGAGCTGTTCAGGATCATCTCGGACTCCACGCAGACGCCGACAACTAAGACGCGCATCGCCATCCTGCGCTTCCTCACCGACCTGGCCAACACGTACTGCAAGAGCAGCGACTTCCCCAGCGACCATAGCCAAGCCTGCGAACGGACGGTTCTTAAGCTAGCCCAGCTGTCGGCCGACCAGAAGTCGATGGAGCTGCGCTCCCACGCCAGGAACTGTCTGGTGGCGCTCTACAATCTAAACACCCCGCAGATGACCCGGCTCTTGGCCAACCTGCCAAAGGGATACCAGGACTCGGCCCGCACCTGCATACAGACGCACATGCGGCGTCAAAGCCAGTGTGGCAATTCGGGTGCCAATTCGCCAAGCAGTTCTCCGCTGAGCAGCAGCAGCCCTAAGCCCCTGCAGAGCCCCTCAGTGGGGCCGTTCGCCTCGCTACAGAGTCACCACCAGCTCAGCCTGAGCTCCACTAGTCCCCGCTCCCGCCAGTCCTCCGTGGAGCAGGAGCTGCTGTTCTCTTCGGAGCTGGACGCCATCCAGCACAACATACAGAAGACGTCGGAGGAGATCCGCCACTGCTTCGGCGGCCAGTATCAGACGGCGCTGGCGCCCAATGGCTTCAACGGACACCTGCAGTACCACGATATGGGCCAGCAGGACTCGTGTGCCTCCCTGTCTTCCAACTCCAAGACGCAATCGTCGGCCAACACCACGCAATCGAATACACCGGAGTCGGCGACCATGCGTCTGGATAACCTAGAGCGAGATCGGACGGTTCAGAATGCCAAGTCACCGTTGCCATCGGGCGATGCCAAGGTGTCCATCACATTGAACGTGGCCGAGAACGGAGAGCTGATCCTGGCCAGCGATCTGATGGAGAGCGAGGTTGTGCGCGTGGCACTGACACTGACCAAGGATCAGCCTGTGGAAATGCTACAGACGTCGCTCACGAACCTGGGCATCTGCATCAAGGGCGGAAACTGTGAGCTGCCCAACAAGCACTTCCGCTCGATCATGCGCATGCTGCTCAACATTCTGGAGGCGGAGTCTACGGACGTTGTCATCTCCGGCCTGCACGTGCTCAGCAAGATCATGCGCAGCACTAAGATGCGCCACAACTGGATGCACTTCCTGGAGCTAATCCTGCTGAAAATTATCCAGTGCTATCAGCACAGCAAAGAGGCGCTGCGGGACATTGATTCAATGATTCCACGCATCGCGCCCTCTCTGCCGCTGGACCTGTCCATCAACATTGTCAATCCGGTGATAGCGACGGGCGAGTTTCCCACGAATCTGTGCGCCATTAAGATCCTGCTGGAGGTGACAGAACACCACGGTTCGGAGATCACGGACGCCCACCTGGACATTGTGTTCCCGAACTTGGCGCGGTCGGCGGACGACACGCAGTCGATGGTGCGCAAGGCAGCCGTCTTTTGCATTGTCAAGCTGTACTTTGTCCTCGGCGAGGAGAAGGTCAAGCCGAAGCTATCTGTGCTGAATCCCAGCAAGGTGAGGCTCCTGAACGTGTATATCGAGAAGCAGCGCAACTCCATTAGCGGCGGTGGCAGCTCCACGAAGAACTCCTCGGCGGCATCCTCCTCATGATTGCGGGAAAGCGCGCCGCGCTTCCTGCACCAGCACCAGCACCAGCCACAGCAACACAAATAAGACACGGACGCAGCGGTGTCCCTCGGCCTATCCAGGACATGAGGGACGGTTGACATTTAATGATATATAATAATACATTAACTAATTATTTATAACTCCAATTATTACCAATGCGTAACTGTTTGCTGCCCAAATATAGGGCGGATGTAAGCGATCCTAAAACCCCAGATAAACCCTTCTAAAGTGAGCAGAAGAAACTATTTATACATGTACGCGGAAACTAAAGCGATAAAACCAGCAAGAAGTCTACTCAAAGTGTAGCCGCCAACTCACCCACCCCCAACTCCTTTGAATCCCGACCCCGAAACGCTCAGTTGTATGTGTTGTACCAGCTCCTAATTACTCACGCTGCTTCTGTTTAGTTCGTAAGACCCTAAGTCCCTTGTCGCCCTTGGAGGAACCCCAAGGCATCTTCAGCTTTCGTATTTTAGTTCCACAGTCAACTTCGTCGTATGCTTATTTTGTTTCCGCTCAACTAAATTCTTACTACTATTACTATGCGATTCTGCTATTTTCTTACAACTGAACTATTTTTGTAATTAATTTAAAAACACACAACAAACCCAAACACAAAATGAAAAACAATAAACAAACACTTCTTCTAGGTTATGTAATAATATTTATAAATTAATTAAACGAATAAAAAACAGTTAAACAAAAGTCGCAAAGCAAGAGAGAACTTAACGACAAGTCAGCGCTTCGTTTGCCAACTCAAACTCTGATCTGCAGTCTCGATCCTTTGCTAATAGTTTTGTGTGATTTATTTCGTAAAATTCAAACTTTTAAATGTATTTATTTACACACGGACTTAATTATACTAAATACTTTGTTTATTATATTGTAACTCTGCCCCGTTCGTCCTCGGTTGGTTGGTTGTTCCTTTATTTTTGGTTGAAGACATCTAAAAGGCTTTGCTTCTTGTTTTGCTTGATTTTTCGTTTTGGGTGAGTATTTTCTTTACACGTATTACCTAGTTTTTGTTTTGTTTATCGCTATTATTAAACATTTTTGAATGTCGCTCGATGTGTTTGGTTTTTCGGTTGTCTCTTTGTCTTCATTGATTTGTTCGATTTTGCATTTGAAATTTTGTTGGGCCCATTTGAAACCTGAACTTTGTTGTTTCTCTACAAGTAAATCATACAAATTCGTTACGTTTTATTTGTTCACGCACAGATATATATATATATTGGAAATCAAGTAAATTAAGGCACTCAATGTACGACAAAGAAATCAATTCGGAAATGAGTAAATTGTTAGTAGATCGATGGAAAGTAAATCAATTTTGCCAAGTACAAATTAGTGCGGTGGTTCGAGTGTATGTCTGTGTCCGCATCTGTGGTGTGAATGTTCGGTGTCCTAGACTAAAGTGTACTGCATTGCTTTAGCATTAACTATCTGGCTTTAGATTACCGTAGCTAATCGTTAACTTGTATTGTACATAAACGTAATTCCTAAATTATGGTGTTTTTAATTAAAGATACATTTTGTCAATGGCACATCATTTTGCTAAATGTAAGACTTTCTCTTTTCATTACTTCTTTTTGGAGCGTTTACAGTATTTGGGCCCCTTATCCTTTCTTTTCTATTCTTTAAAAAATGCTTCCAACTTCGGAAACGGTGCTGTAAACAATTTTGAGTGTGTGTAGAAATCGAGAAAATTGTGACCTCGAAAACGTTTAGATCCCTTTACCAACTGCCCAAGTAGCTTGACTATATCTAGATTTTTACATATACGAAATGCATTTGTATGTACAGTGGGACAGGATCTCGACTCGCGTCCTGCTAAGTCGAACTAAAACACGGCTTCGATTTAAAAATACATTGAACTACTTAATTGATTATTCATTTACACGTAGATGGCTGCTTGCTAACAATACTTTGGCTTATGTTTTCTTATTTTTGGTTTTCTTGTGGTAAATTTTGAACGCACTCGTTGCCGAACAAGGCCCCCAACAACAACAGCAACGCTTCGGGGGATTCCATTGTCCAATTTTGACCGAAAAAGGCACACACAGAGAATATCGAATGACAACGACTATGCACGACTACAACAACACTAACCCTAAGTCATATCTGCTCCGACCTAGTAGCCATTGCATCGGATCTCGCCGTAGCGACCCCGTGGCCTTCCGGCTCCGTATGCCGCATATCGCTCATACGCCATGTAGTCCGGTATTTCGTAGCCGTAGCCGTGGCCGCGCATCCGATTCCTCGGATAGCCGTTACGGCCATAATCCCCGCCGAGATAAGACCCCTCTTCGTGGCCGTAGTAGCTGTGTGTGGGCGTGGTCGGTGCTGATTCCATGTACCCTCCTCCCGTTGGATGAGATGTTGGGAAATTGCTGGCCGAACTGGCGGCATATTCCTCAGCCAATCGCTCCACTAGAGACTCTGGCGTCTGCAGGAATCTCTCGGAAAATCGTCCAATTTCGGTGGAGCCGAAAGCCTGGAGAAAACCCGGCAATGGCTTGATGTCCTGGGAAGAGAAAATGTATTTATAAGTTCTTATTTTCTATACATTGTGTTTTAAATGATGGTCATGTTTTGCCAAATCTATGCCCTGTTTATTAGGAAGGCCTTTAGTTTTTATATTTTAAAAGTATTTTTGGATTTTAAAGCATTGAAAAAAGGTTAATGGATGATGAAAAAATTTATTGATGATAAAGTTATTATCTTTAAACAAATGTTTAAATTGGAAAATATCCTGTCAATTTTAGTTGTTCTCTTAATGCAACCTACATTTATTTGGACTTAAAAAAAGATCTGCATTTAGTTTTACTCTACTTACTCTAATTTGTTCCCTAACGATGGGCTCCACAGGCTCCATATTCTCGCCCTCGCCAGCTTCCTTTTTGGCCGCCTTCCGTTTTGATTTCTTGCTCGGAATAAGATCGCACTCGATGATGCGATTGTTGCTGCTGCAGCTGTTGCGATTCCTGGCCGATGTTGCACTCCTCTTGAGGTTGCTAGTCTGCAGTTGCTGCTGCTGCTGTTGCAGCTGTTGTTGCTGTTGCTGCTGGAGGAGAGGAGCCAAGGCGGGTGGAACAATTGCCGTCTGGCCAAAACCTATGGGTGAGTTCTGGGGCGCCGGCGGAGTGCGCGGGCGCCGCGGCGTTGGACTCCAGTTGGTCGTCACAGGATGTTGGTGCTGCTGAGCCTGTGTCTGTGCCTGTGGCTGTTGCAAGTGGTAACAAAAAAATCGATTTAGTTCTTTGCCGAGCAGTTTGTTACACTCAAGTGGCGGGCTCTTGGAGAACTTTGAGCTCCCAGTCCCAGTGCACCCCTAGGCTTCTCCGCTCCCCGCCAGCTGGCCGGCGCGTGCTCGCTGCTGGCAGCTCATGTTACCAGGCAACCCCCACAGAGGTCTCATCCCTCTGCTCCCCTCGAAACAGCTCCAATCTTGACAGGCAGCCAGCCAGCTAGCCGGGTGAAGTTCATCGCAGAGCCCCAAAAATCAATAGGCGCCCCCTTTTTGTATGAGCTGCTCTGGTGGCTGGAGCACCCTGTAAAAGGCTTCCGGCGTGGGCTCTCTTTGAGAGAGCTTTTCCCGTGCTTTCCGCTCACTCGTTCCGCAGTCTCCTTCCGCCGAGTTTTTCAATGAGTAAAGCCGGTCGATGGAGCTAAACGCATTTCGCTTTGGCCCTCTCTTTTTGTCACATCTCCTGCGTGAAGGATGACGAGTGTGTGCCTGCCGAGGCGCTGTCATTATCAGGCTCTGGTTTGTGCCTCTGCTTTGGCCTAATTTATCCCCGGCAGGATATGGCCCACCCAGCCGCAGAGCCGCCCCCGCTGATTGCCTCCTAATTAGACCCCCTCCCCTTATACGACGCGGGGTTGCGCAGCGCTTAAATTGCACCTGCAGCTTTAATTTGCAATTTGTCCCGCCCGTCGTTAATTGGATTCCAGCAAAGGGGACTCACCGCATGTCCTGGCTGCACCTCGGCCGACTCGCTTATTGGATCACCGCCAGCATCCTGCGGCGTCGTCGGCGCATCCGTGGCCGATGTCTCTGGCTGCAAATTGATTTCCGCACGCCTGGCCGCTTCCGGAGGAGCAGGGCCGGAGCTGGAGCAGGAATTGGGCGGTGGGTTCACCTTATCAGTGCCACTGGCCACCGGCGACGTCGCGCTTATGTCATCTGGAAAATAAGTTGGAGCTTGAGTACTGTGGGGCTGTCTAAGAAAAATCAATAGGGCCGAAAAGATTGCTGATTTCTGGGCTCCTCGTAATTATTTTGTCATGCGTGCAGGCAGCAATCAAGGGTTAAAAACCAGGCCCGGAACATTGACCGTTCGGCGTGGAATCGAAGGGCTTTTTCGCACGCGCTTATCAAATATTTTCCCCGAGGCCAAAAAAAAACCAGAAAGAGAGAGAGAGAGCGCGAGTGCTGGAGAGAGGGCCACCGCTGTGGAGAGCGACATGCACTTGTTGAACGTGCTATGCCACCCTCTCTCACTCACACACACACACTGCCGTAGAAGGAGAAAGGGAGAGAGCGGAAGGGCCGCTGGAAATCAACAAAAAGTGTAGCGCACTTTTTGGCGCATGCGACTCGGCCTGCAATGTTTACGTATTTGCCATATTTTTTTCTAGCGCTCCCGTTGCACGTTGTTGCAGCTGCAGTTATGGCAGTTACTGCAATGCATTTAAAGCTGCCATCGGCTGCGTCAATAAATCAATTATTGTTGCCAAACGAACCAAATCTAGGTAATCAATTTGCTTAGAAGCTTATGCAAAAGCTTCGGAGCACCGGATTTAAGGAGTTTAGCCTATTGACTTTGTGCACTAAACATCTATTTAATTTAACTAAAATCAAATGAATTGGCTTTAAATTATAAGAATTAGAATCAAGCATTCAGAATTTACTAATATTGCCTAATAATTATTTGCAGTTCACTTAGTAAATTGGTTTCTTTATTAGACCTGTTCAATTACTTAATATTAAACTATATGAATATTTTCCTATACGTTACTGCAAACACTATAGATTACTTTAAAAATGTTGTTATTTTCTGATTATGGAAAAAGAGTCCCTGATCTTTCCCTATAAACATTTACCAAATATAAATTTTCTAATCTCATATGGTTTAAACCACTTTTTCTGTTATGGTTTCAATCTATGATTTTACCAAATATTATCAGTAAAGACTTGGGTTTAATATTACACTAAAGACTTCTGTCTTAATTAACGAGGCAACGGAAGCGAAGGAAGTCAAACTTAATTAAATATTCCGCTAGCTTCCTGTGTGTAGTAATGATACCCCCTAAATTGCATTCGCCTTTGATGTGCTCCTCCCTTCGCTTCTCGCATTGGACATTGATTTTTGCTTTAATATTGCGCTGACCGAGGTATCGGGAGGTTGAGGTTGAAGTTGAACTCGAGCCTTGGCTATTGCACCGGGGAGCTGTTCCCAATCCCCAAACCTCTGGTGATTCCTCCACCGAATCCTCTTCCAGGGTGTCGTTGGTTCCTCCCTTGATGGATGTGCATGTGTGTGTGTGTTGCTGAGTGTGTTTGTGGGCGTCTAGGGTGTGTTTGCCGACTGTGTGGGTGGCTTCGCCTAACGGTAGTAAAGCGGCAACCACCGCATTACGCTGTAAAGTTCATTTACATGCTGGCTGTGATGACATTTCACGCATACGAAAGACACCCTTAGACGCCCCAGTGTGTGTGTGTTTTGTGTGTGAAAGTCAAACGCCCATTGATAACACACACATACACACAACCAGCACGTTCGTTTGCACTGCGAAATATTTAGAAAAAAAAAAATGAACTGTGTGGGCTCACTTCGCACCTGGTGGGTCACCGCCACATCCCCGTTTCCTCCCACTGCCACGGTTGACTTATTGATTTGCACACACGACAAAAAAATTAAAAAGCCACACATCACAGGGCAAAGTCGGTAGTCGGTTTGTCGGTTGTCGGGGATTCCAGGGGATTCGCGTGCCTAAATAGACAGCTAATTTTGAGGTCCTCTTAAGCGCCATGACGTAGGCACCCCCGCGCTCATGCCAAAACCATCCCCTACGAAAGCACCCCCATATCAGACCTCCTCCTGTCGGGGAAACGGAAGTATTTCAGCAGTTAACCAACGCTGATTGGTTGAGTGTTTGCAAAACGTCGCCTTAGCTGTGGGAATCCATGGGAGGACTAGCGGAAAAACCTGAAATCGGACATCGCAAACGGAGGAGGAGGAGGAGAAGCACCTCGTGCTGGTGAGGAGCATTGCGGACGACACTCCGGACAACGCTGACAACGATGACGGCAACACGAACGGACAGTTCTTGCATTAATTTGCATGCGGAATCAAGCATAACGCTATGTGCCGGCACAGTGGGTGCGATAACAACGATTCCAATCAGTAAGGAGCAAGGTCCTGACTTGGTCTAGCACTCACTGTACCTATTAGTTTTGAGTTTAAAATATATTTGGTAACAAGAAATATTAAGAAGATTATGTATGTAGCATTTAAAAGGGGTATTTATTTCATCTATTATTTATTTCCTATATTGTTTTATTAAACTGACCACTCGATTTCCGTCGCTTTCCACGGTGCCTCCAATCGCTGATTTCAGCTGGACTGACTGCCACCCCTTGTACTGACTTTCAATACTTGTTACATAATCCGCCTTGACATATGTTTGCATAAATTTACGAATTCTCCCCCGCGGCCGCGCATAATTGCGAATTAAATAGAGTGTAATGAAAGAGCGACAGGCGACGCGATAAAAGGCTGACAACTTACCGGGAATATCGAGCGGAGTGTCCGTCCGGAGCGCTGCCTCGGCCACCGGTGCCGGCTGAAGCTCCTCCTCCTCAAAGTCCCGCCCGTCGGCGGGGCAGTGGTAGGGCACACAGGAGGCGGATTCCACGGACATGTTCACCGGATACTCGCCACTGTACACAGGTGTGCTCTGACTGCTGTCGCTGCGGGCTCTGGTGCTGCAGTTACTGATCCCACTGTCCGTTCCGGTGGCACTGATCATCGGCGGCGACGTGGTCAGCCGATGAGCCGGCGATGCTGCTCCCGATGCCTCCACCTCGATGTCCGGATCCTCGAGCTTCGGCGTGGCTGCCAGCGGTAGGTGTGGCAGATGTTGCTGCTGGGCAATGGCGTGTTGCTGCTGATCGGTGTAGCTGCGCAGTGGCTCCAGGTAATTCGGAGGCAGCACTGTGCGGTTGGGCGCCGGCGTGGAGGAACGCCCGGGTGGAGCATAGTGGGGTGTGGGTCCGGTGTAGCCACCAAAGCCACGGCTTGAGTACGAGGCGGAAGAACTGTACGGCGATGGAGCGGGCTGCTCGTAGCCGGGCGGATGATGTGGCTGCGGCTGCTGCTGGTACGGATGCGACCTGGGGGGTAGTGCAGCACGCTGGAGGGGATCAGCTGCTGGCCTGCGGGCGTAAACATGCCCTGGTGGTGCTGGCTATAGTGCGGCGAGGCGTACGGAGCGTAGCGGTAGTAGTTGGGCATGTACGTGGCACTGGACATGGACGAGCTGTAGCCGTAGCCGGCGTACGGATGGTAGCCGGTGTAGCCGGACCTATAGGGCTGCGGCGGATAGTGCGACATGGCGGGATGAGCGGCCAGATGCTGATGGGGATGGTGCTGCTGATCGTAGAAGCTGGCCGGATACCGGTCCGACATGGCTGCAGTTCTGGCTGGCTCAAAAGCTCCTCAATAGCAACTGGAGGCTCGAAGTCGTCTGCCCCGTCCCGGTTCGCATAGCCACCATATTGTCAGTTGCTGCTCGAATGGTGTCCCCTTACAAGTGACCACTATTGATTTTCCCTTTCAGCCACAGTCGCAAATCCTTTGGCTCGCCTTCCTATCCTTATCTGGCCACGCTTGGCTGCCCTTTATTTATGTTGGAATCAATTTTCGCCACACTTGCAGTTTTCTTATTGTCCTCCTGTGAATGGAGCAAGCCAGAGAAAAGAGAGAGCAAAGTGGGTGGGTTTATTATCAGACGAAAATAGTGTCCTACACCTCGTATCCCCTGTCCCGTGTCCCTTGTCCCGAGACCTGTGCTGTTCCCTGCTCTTTAATGGCGCTCCGGAAATGGGGATGCCAGTGGCGAGATCGTTAAACAGTTTCCCATGGTTGGGACTAACGAGACAATTGCGTACCGTGCCACAGACAATTCAATTAACATCTGACCAATAACATTTTATGAGGACTACATGGTCTGGACTCTGTGATGGCAGGGGCATTATGAGGTTTCAAGACTACTTATTGGACGGGGATTAGTGGATAAGTTCTCACAGTAGATATATTTCTTAAAGACTTATTATTGGTAAATGATTTTTATTATTAGAAAATGTTTTGAGATCCGTTTAAAAGGTGTCTTAAAAGTATTCTATAAATACCGAATTCGGTTTATGCTTTAAAGTAATATTTAGTAATATTAGGAACACCTTTTATACGATTTTAAAAATTATCTTAAAACAAGGTTTCTATCTGTTCTTTTCCATATATTATAAAGAAAGAATTTAAATGTAATTTAATTTAATACGGCTTAAGTTACACTCAGGATAAAATTGTAACTTGAACAATAAATAAAAACACCTCTCCTTATAAATATATGGTTAATGAATAATATAAAAAAGGTATCTGTAAATCAACTCATTTGTTCTCTTATCAACTTAAAACTTTGTGTGCAGTAATCCGGAAAGCGCTAATTACATTCCAGTCTAACTCCCTCCTCAGAGGCCATCCCTTATCATAACTCATCGGATGTACGAAAATGCGAAATTCGCAAATGCCTGCAGCCTGGATCCTTGAGTTTAACTGAGTGCAATCCTGGCATTCCACACATGCTAATGAGAGCCAGCAACTCACCAAGTATCTCAGCCATGTTATGATGCACAAATTGCGGTTGCTCTGGAGATTCCTCATTTTTGAGGGAATGGGAAATGGAAATGGAGGTACTTGGGCGGATCGGAGGAGAAGAGCTGCCTGCAGGAAGGACACTGACGGGTGGGTGCATCTCTTGATGGGCCATGCGCAAAATTCCGTTTGTTTTGCACTCACGCACAGGCAGCCGAGGCAACCACAACAGTAACAGCAACAGCAACAGCAAAGAGCCACTCAACTTATCGAGCGCATCTCGCATACAGAGATCCCACACCACACACTCACATTCTCTTACACACATTGAATGAATAACCACATGCATTTTGGCCGCATGCAAACCGTTAATGAGCCACAAAAGTGCACACATTTGGAGTGGGATTGATAAGGGCCAGTGTATGGGTGAGGGTACGGATGGGTTTATGGGGCTGTGGATGTGGATGTGGATGTGGCTGTGGGTGGCAACTGGTGGGCGGCTGTCCCATGGATGGATGGTTCGAAGTCGTCACCAAGCAACGTCGAACGTCTTCTCGCAACCAATGGGTGGCTTCATTCACCATTCAGTCTCCCACACAGGACATTACATATTGGCCTGCGCACATACAGTTTACACCGAGAAAAAAAACCAATAGGTTTTAAAATAAATAGTTTAAATTTTAAACTGATAAGAAAACTGACTAGATTCGAAAGGTGTTTTATGAGAATCATTATCATTCTAAGAATGGTAAATATTTTTTATACAAACAACTTAGTTAGATACCAATAAATTTTGTTCAGTGTAAGCACTTACTGTTTGCGTCTGTAAGCTTGCGCTTGACGTGTGCGTTTATTGATTAATAAACTTTTTTTGTGTGCAAAAACACCACAAAAAAGGCGAAAAATAATAATTGAAGGCAATCGGCGTTGGAGGAGGGTGCAACCAGTCAAAAGGGGGCTAACCTTTATTGATTGGAGAGCCAGAACGAATGACGCTCCAAAGGACGGTGATGACAGTGATGTTGATGGTGATGTCCTGGCAGCAAATTAGCAAGTTAGGGGTGGAGAAAGGGACAAAGAAGGAGGAGGGAGGGCCAGGACAACTCTATTAGCAAAGTCAAACACGGGGGCGGAGTGGATAACATAATCAATGTAAACACAAGCGGAAAGAGAGCGGCAGGCAGTGCTATTAGCCGGCTGAGAGAGAGCTTGCTCTCCTAGGAGGCACAGAGAGAAAAGTGGAGAGAGAGAGAGCTTTTTGGTTGGCCATGCCAAAGGGTTAGGTGAAACAAAAACGGCCAGCCGTAAATGAAATGAGCCTCGAAATAAGTTAAGTTAAGCAACTGCAATCGGGGGAAGTCTGGCTCTCTCTCTCTTTCCCGTGCCCGCCTCCCCTGCCGCTCGCAGGATCCAGCGACCCAGCGACAGGAAACGGAAGTTGAGCACGACGGCAGCCGTGTAAATGGCGATGGATGCTGTGAGCGCTAGTGGTAGTGGTGGTGGTGGTGCCTCTTTTTGGGACAGTGCGACACAACAGAGCCGACAGGAGCAGCATGAGCAGCAGCAGCACCCGTGGCAGCAACAGCCTCCCACTCACTGCCGCCGTGTATATATAAATCAATAAAAACAGCAGCCCGAGACGGGCTTTTGCCTCTTGCACTGTTTCCATCCAGCGTTGGTTGCCTTCTGTACTTTGTTTTCCTTTTTCTTGTGCCGTTCTTCTTTCTGCGTCCAGCAGCAGCCGGGCTGAGAGTCGCAGCAGGAGCAGGAGGAGCTCCTGGTGTACACAATCATTACACGGACCCGCGCGCGTCACACGCTGCGTATGTGCAATGTGGCCTGGCACTCGAGTCGCGACCCGCGCGAGCTTGGAGCGCCCGAATGTATGCAGCAGAATATGGCGATTTAATTGAGTTTCTGCTGCGAGAAGCAGGATTTTCAATAATTGGGGCAGCATTGCAAGTGCGTGGGAGTATTTCACAAATATGCTAAGATAAAACAATACATTTTGAGGCAGTGGGGGACTCTTGAAGGGAATGGAAATGGTTTCAAATTATAAGTGCTTTAACAGTATGCAATTAATATGTTCTGGAAGCTGTTTTGCTATAATATATTTATGGGAAAAAGCATAACGGTTCAAAATCTAAAATATATGTATAAGAAATCAAATATAATTTAACGTTAAAGAAGATCGTAAATAGAATGAGAGGCGGTTTTTAAAACTAAAATATTATTGGATAAATTATTTGTATTCAATCATAAGGCATTTTTAAAAGAAGTTCTCTTCTGGATTTATCTCTTGGCTATCATAACTTTGAAACAATCTAAAATTCATAAATCAAAACTGCCTAATTTAAAACTAAACTATAGAGATTAAAAAACTATTTTCTAGTAAATATGTTTTAGTTACCTTCGAAACGCGAAAAATATTTGTTTTCGTTGATTTATATTCGATAAAAATTCTGCTGCTCCACTCAATAAGTTGTTCTGCTTTAAGTTTTTAGTTTTATTTTCCTTTTACCACTTACTGCTCCGAAAATTCAATTTCCACTAATTTGATTCGATTAAAAACCTCGCCTCTGATTTTTAGAAAACTCTCCCCACGGTTTTTCCCGTTTCAACACACCACGAAATACCGTTACATTTGAAATTCTGGCCGCAATTCACAATGGCCGAGAGCGAGAGCGTCACTTCTACCACAGACAACGGACAGTTTTCCACCTTTCTCTTCGACAGAAGCGCGGAAAAATCGAAGAGCAAACGACAGAGGCAGAAGGCAAGCGAATGGCCAAAACGATCGGAGCACGGCGGCGTCACTCGGACGGAGGCCAGAGCTCGGAACGAGTGGCGTTACGTATACGCAGCGTTGTACGGCGCGCGATAAAGTCCAACGTAGACTGAAATGCGATACGCGGGCGCGCTGCCATTTATACCCTTGCACGCCGAAGGCCCCAAAGCCGAAGAAGCAGAAAAGCTGGCAAAAGACAAGCACCAGAGAAAGGAGCAGACGGAAAGCAGCGAAAAACAAAAAAAAAGAAAAAGGAAAACCGAGCGAATAGAACCGAGCTGCTGCTGTTGTCGCTGCTGCACTGGGAACTTTGTGACCCGATTCGATGGGCAACCTGCCCACATGCGCGAGCGAGCTTTTCCGCCGCCAACCGAGGGCGGAATATTCGCTGCACTCTCTTGTTCTCTCTCTCGGGAAAATGCCATTTGAAACTATTCACTTTGCTTACGAATTAGAGCACAAAACAGAAACCAAACCAAAACAGAGCGGCGAGCCGAAAGGAATCTAGAACGTGGCGTTACTTCTGCCAGATAAGAAGGGAAGGTGTGCGAGGACTTTCCGGAGAGATGTGCGAGAGAACGCAGGGAGTGCGCAGCGAATTTTCCGCCAAAGTCCCGTTTGGGGGTTTCCCACGTTCGGTGTGTGTATGAGGTATGTATAGGCTCGATTTATCGATGTCCGGGCCACGGATTTCCACCAATATACAATGCGAAGAGCGTAGCACGCTTTCCGGCATAGAACTCCATACCATAGTGTGCACTGGGGGAAGGTTCTTCGCTCCATTCGCTTCCCGTGAACCTGTGGCATTTTGGCCAGGCCCAACCTCAGATGATGACCGATAAGCCAGATGGGTAGACTGATAACCGGGCAGGTGGACAGCTCACAGGGGCTGCTGTCTTCCCAAAGCTTTGCCGAATTGTAATTTCTATGGGTTTTCCCTATCTTTTGAAAACAAAAATAAACTTATATCGCGATTATATAGTTATTAGTTAGCTTCAACTATAAACATCTTGGTTTTCTATTTATAATCTTTAATTAATATAAATATTAAACCTCTTCCTAAGCTGAGGTTACTCCGCAGACAAGCTAAAACATATTCAAAAAGTTTAAACATAAGTTAGAAAATAGGATTCTCCACAGCTCAAAGACACAATATTTAAGTATGCCGGTTCCACTTTGAACAAAAGGTATCATCCTTCATAAGCTAAATCACCTCAGGCAGAATAGCTTGCACTCAATTTTTGAAAAACAGCAGAGTTTTTGAAATGCCTTAGCTGTCGCCCAATCAATGATATGGGAGTCCCCTTCCGGCTACGCGCCTGGGTTACATGAGCCTTGTTCCGCCACGGCTCGGCCACCCACTGCGCAGTCTCCTGGCAGGCTCTCTCTCTTAGTCCCCGCGTGCACGTGTTTCGCTGCGGTTTTCGCATGCCAGCCCAAAGAGGAAGGCCCTCAAAATATTTGGTAGGCGCAAAAAAGTCGGAAAAACGTAAACAAAGTGTGTGCGCACGCAACGAAGGAACAGAGTGGGGTAGGATGAGCTTCGCGCGTCCTGGCCGGGGGTGGTGCTGTTTCTGCGCCGTGCTGCTATTGATTACATAGACGACAAACAGGGTGTTGCTCAAGCTCAATTCTTTACTACGGACTAAAATTTAAAAGTAGTCAACAGACAAAAAGGCCAATTTGGACGACGAACGAATGATCACAGAAGAAGGACTCTAGCCGAACCAATGGGCACCCATGCAGTCGCGAGTCCACTCTGTCTGGCAGACCCAACACCACTCGAATCCGCAGCCAGCGCGTGTACATACCATGTGCATGCAGCCGCCTGGAAGAAGGAGGGTTAAGTTACGAGCCGTGTCTTCGACTTTCCCCCGCCCCCAAAAAACTTACCATCTCGCTCCGTGGGCGTTCGACATTTCGGACAGGGCTTGGTACTGACTTTGATGGTGACATTGGTGGCCTCCTCCCATCTCGCCTCAGCAGCTCGCTGAGAGACGCGTGTGATTACACAAGTGAGCAATGATATTACGCACACTTACATTTGGGTCCACAGTGTACTCGCAGGAGTTCTGGGCACTGGTCTCCGTCCCCTCTGGCAGGCACTCCCCGATGTGGTAGCCCTGCAGACAGTTGCGGCAGAACACATAACCACATCCGTTCTGGCAGGTCACCTTGCGACAGTCAGGCTCCACCAGTAGGCCCATGCCACAGCCTGGCTGCGGGCAGAGCACTCCACCAGCCTGTAGGACATACTCCTCGGTGGCGAAGCGTTGATACCGCTCATATTCCTCGCGAGTGAGCAGCTTGAAGTGATGGATCTCTTCGATGAACGAGTGCTCGCAGCCAGCGGGACAGGGCAGGGTGTAACCAAAGTCTGGATGCGGCATGAATTGGCGCTCGCCAAGCCGAGAGCGGCAGTAGTGTCGGAAGCACTCGATGCAGGTGACGTGCTGCGAGGCACAGGGAAAGACCAGGACGGTTTCACTGCAAAAGGAGATGAGGATCGGAAATTAGCATTCGGGTTCTTGTTATTTCCTGTCGTTAATTCAACTTATTATTTAAAATTGAGTATTATATAATAATCTTTATATAGTCACCTTACATCCGTGCAGGCCAGGCAAGGGACATCTTTGATATTGTTTTTGATAAGGTTTAGCGGCGCAGCAAAGTCCTTCTCGCCGCCGGAAACATGCTCCGCACACTTAAAAAAGAACTCGGCAAAGGGCGGATCCCCAGCCTCGTTGTCCACGCAGGCCACCTCTAGACTTTCGCAATGGCCGGGAATGCGACGTGACTTGAGCACATCGTCCCAGCACTCGGGATCGCGGTGGACAGTAAAGGCACCGCCTTTGCAGAGGGAGCAGCGTACCCGCAGCTTGCCGTTGCACAGCTTGTTGCATTGGCTGCAGTGCACGAAGAAGTGGGCCTTGGCACGGACACGTTCTGGCGGAGATTTAGGCATTAGAAGCACGTTCTAAGGCAAAACAACCTGTTGCGTGTACCCTCGTCGGTGATATTCAGTCTCTCCTCGCTCTCGAGCTGCAGATCCAGCAAGGTTTCGTTCAGCGGCTTCGAGGGCTCCTCCGCCAGCGACGGCTCCTCCTCCTCCAGCGTGGCCGACTGGATCTTCTCGCGTCGCACCGGCGGCCGCAACTGGATGGCGTGCAAAACGCTCTGTTGGCCCAAATCGCATTGCTACTGGAAGACCAAGAATTTTAGAATGTTTTTGGGGGCTGACTATGACTACAACGACTAAGTCTACCTCTATGGTCGTGGCATCACTAAGCTCCTTGCCTGCAAATATGATCTTCACCTCGTCCGGCTGCAGACCGAGTTGTGGTGCCACCAGTTCCTTAACGTTCTTGATGTCCCATTGGGGCTCCAGGTTCACCGACAGCGTCTTGCCCGTGTTTGTCTTTACGTAAATGCTCAGCGTGTGCGTCAGCGTCTTGCCACCGAATTGCAGAAGTTCCAGCATTTTGCGTACAAAAGTCACAATAAACTCAAAAATAAAACTCATTTGGCCAAAAGTCCGTCAGTGTGCCCGCCAGTGCTGCCAGTTTAGCTTACTTCAGGTTATATCTGGTATATTTGAAAATGCAACAGCTTCTGAAATAGCTAGCTTATAGCCGAAAAAAGCTTATTGTATTATTTTCATCTAGCTTATTGTTTTGTATATTATGTAATTTATATTACGTGTTTTTTTTTTGGTAATATAAATATACAATTTGTATTTAAGGACATGTTTTTTTACACCTATATTACTTTTTAAAAAGCTTTTAACTTAAAACAACTATAATAATGGTTTTCCGTCAACTCTGTCTCCCTCAAAGTTAAGTGGCGCGAAAATATGAAAAAAAACGGTAGGCGGATATTCTGACTTATTTAATTATTAGCATTAGCATAAAGTTGTTTTCGTTTATAAATATATTTCCAGCCTTCTTATATACTTTTATACATTTTTTTAATACCTATCATAAAGTAAAAAAATACAAAAAACATCGAGTTATCGAGCTTACATTATCGATAGTAGTATCGGCCTTTTTTCATCTCTAAAAGACACCGCAAACGCGCACAATTGAAAAAGTTGATTCCTTTGTGAAAATAATTGAATTTGCGTGGAAGAAGATAGAAATGCCAGGTTTTGTTTACAGAGAGCAGAACGGCGACCTATTTAGCGCCAAGAGCGACTTTTCTTTGTGCCACTGCGTAGCAGCAGACTTGCGCATGGGCAAAGGCATAGCGGTGAAGTTTCGGTAAGGAATCGGAACGGTTCTCGTTAGAATTTAGGTAATCTATCCTTCTTTTAGCAACAAATTTGGGCAGCTTCTGACTTTGCAAAGGCAAAAGGTCCAGCCCGGGGGAGTGGCTATCCTCCAAGACCAGCAGCGCTTTGTGTACTACCTGGTGACCAAGAAAACCAGCTGGGGCAAGCCGACCTATGAGCTCCTCTACAGCTCCTTGCACGCTATGCGCCAGCACATGGTAAGTGGAAAGCTTTTCAGTCTGACACCACATCTATATTAAATTAAAATGATCCCAGATCTCCCACAACGTACCCAAATTAGCCATGCCCCGCATTGGATGCGGCCTGGACGGACTCAACTGGGCCAAAGTCAAGGAAATGATTTGCCAGATTTTCGAGTCGGATGCCGTGGAACTAGTTGTGTTTAATTATGCAGAAATTCGAAAATAAGAGGACACAAATGAATCTATGTAACTCGAGTTATTGACCCTGTGGCGGCACAAAGTTGTACACTACAATCTCCAGCTCCTCGTGGCCAAAGACGTACTCCAGCAATTTGCTGACTTTGTCCCACTCCAGGCCATCGATGCCGCAGCCAATCTTCGGAATGGCCAGCTTATCCACTTCGTTTTCGCGCTATAATAAAGATGAAATCATCAATTGGAATGTGATTTTAAAATTAAAAAAGTTAAGAATACCCATAATTATCATAAGACAATAAATAGCATTTAACAGTTTTCTAAGATGTGAGCGATAAATTAATGAATTATCTATTCTATTCTATTTGAATTTGAATTTTGTTTAACATAACTAATACAAGAACCTATTAAATCTTACTTATGTTGTACACGCATAAATGCTATCGTTGCCTGAAATTGTAAAAAAAATAAAATTCTAGACATATATTTACCATATGTTCGCGCATCTGCTCTAGGGATGCCTGTAGAGAGTCGTAGGTGGGCTTGCCCCAGCTCTGCGGCTTGGTCACCAGATAGTAGATGTAACGTTTATCATCCTTGAGCACCGCCACCTCTCCACTGGCCGCATTCTGGGCCCGGAGCTCGTCCACTTTGCCATAGATCTTCTTGAACTGCACAGCGATTCCCGCTCCCATTGCGAGATCAGCGCCCACGCAATGTGCCAACGAATGGGTCTTGGGTGCGGAGAATAGGTCCCCGTCCACCTCTCTAATCTTGTAACTCGCCTCGGTGGCCATGCCGGTCACAAAACCCTTTCGAAATGCCTCGCGTAATTCTAAAAGTTTGGAAGAATACATATTGGTTTTAAAGTTACTAGTTAATGATAATGACGGCTTTGGCGAAGCTTATATATAATTATAAATATATGTAGATAATACACATATATAAAATATTTCTAAGATTACAGTAGAAAGTCAGGTCATTGGTTAATCCCTCTCTGAGGGGTGTATTTCGTTTTAATGTACATTAAGTATAAATACCCAAAAAATATACAATTTACGTGCCATGGAAGCTCTTAAGTGTAGTGTTCTTATCGACTATATAAGTATTTGGTGCATTCGGTGCCACAAGTCCCAAGAAAACCATTTTAATTGCAGCAATCTTCTGCTGCTCTATACAAGTCGCCATCGCTCCATTTAGAATGGGGTCTTTTCGCGATGAAGCGAGTTCCTCGATCCGCTGACGGATCTCGAGGGTAAATGGATGGTCTTCATGTGCCGACAGGTCGGACACACCACATTCAGCGTGTCTTTGGACATTTGTGGGGGAGTGTAAAAGAAAGCGATGATATCAACGTTGTCCTCGGCGAACACAAGGTCCAGCAGACTGCGCACGCGCAACCAGTCCAGGCGATCGATGCCGCATCCGAGTCGGGGAATAGCCAGCTTGGTTACTCCGTGCTCCCTCTGAAATGAGTATAAGATTCGGTAAGTATGTATAAAAATATCTACAATTTTCTATACGAAAATATCCCTTATTACCATGTGCTCGCGCATGGCCAGCAGTGCGTAATAGAGAGCCGTGTAGGTGCATTTCTCGTGGCTGCGCTCCTTGGTCACCAGGTTGTAGATGTACCGTCCGCCCTGCTCCAGGACTGCCACGTTTCCGGTGTGCCGATTCTGGCGCTTCAGATCATCTACATGACCGAATTTGCAGCGGAACTGCAGGTTGAGCCCTGCACACATGGCAAAGTCCGCACTGACAGAGTGCACCAGAGCGTAGTTCTCTGGTGCGCTAAAAAGATTGCCCCTGGCCTCAGTAATCTGGCATTTGGGCGCAGCCAGCTGTGGATAATATGGTTGTAATCAATTGGCTTTCTCAGGTATTTGGGATGACTCACCTCCTTGGACAGATCCTCGTGCTCGCAGATGAGGATCTCAATGGGGTACTCGCTCTGTGAGAAGGTCTGCTGCATCAGACGCTTCACTTGCCTCCACTCGAGACCGTCTTTGCCGCAGCAGATCCGGGGCATGGCCACTTTGGTGATCTCGTGGTTGCGCTGGAAATATGAAACAGTAGGCATTTGGTACATTAAACTTTAAAAAAACCTTTGGAGAAAATATTAGGAAAGTAAGAAAGTTTCTTGAAACATTTAGTGTTCTTTGAAAATTAATCCATGGAGTATACATATATTTGATTCACTCAATTTGTCAGCTTGAATATGAATCATATTTCCAATTAATAACAAAATAACTGCAACTCTATAAAAGCGAATTTTAATTTTGGTCATAAGAAACTGAGTTTACTTTCTCCTATGCAAATGAATGGCCACCAAAAAATGTCGGACAAAGTTTTTTTGTAAAAGGAAATTGCAAAACAAACTTGGTTGCCATCGAGAAATTTACTGCATGTTTCTGTTAAAATAAGTTAGATACATTTATATATGTATGTATCTGTTACACTTTCCACCGATGACAAATGCAACATTTTTTAATTAAAGTGCTTAACAATTTGATCACAAAAAGGGGCGAATCTTCCATAAATATTTACTGTATCTCGATGTACAAATAAATTAACTGTAAATTGACGAAGCCAGAGACGCGACAGAAACCAGTTTTCGAAGCGTCGACGTGCGGTTGCTCTTTTGGAAGGGAAATGTCACTTGTCTCTTGTCGCTTTTCGGGGGAAAACACACCCCACTCTCCCAAGCCCACTCCCGGTCTGAAGCTTTTACTTACCATGTGTTCGCGCATACAGATCAGCGCCGCCTGGACATCGTCGTAGGTGCTGGTTTCGTAGAGATTCGATTTGGTGACCAGGTAGTAAATGAAGCGCGAGTTATGCTCCAGCACGGCGCAGTTGCCCCGGCTGACCCTCCTCTGTCGCAGCTCATCCACATCCCCGTAGATGAGGCCGAACTGCCAGGCCAGGGTGCCCCGCAGCGCCATAAAGGACGACTCTACGGCATGGGCCAGGGCGTGGGTTTGGGGCGCCTGGAATATGTCCAGCTTGGACTCCACAATCTTCACGTTCGCCGCAGCCATGGCTCACTGTGTCTGGCTTGCTGGCTCGCTGGCTGGCTGCAATTAAACGGAAATTATTCTCAATGCCAAAAATGATTTTTTGTACTTACGTGCACGCAGCGGAAACTTTCACGTCGAGGTCGAAACTCGCGATAAAAACTTTTTCGGCTTTGGAATCAGAGTCGGAACGGAATGGTTTTGACTTTGGTTTGGTTTGAGTTTTGGACTGCACAGAAACCAGAATGAAAACAAAGCAATTAGCAGAGGGACCGGGGGATTCCGAACAGTTAGCGGCTAGTTGGGAGCTTGTTTATTTTGGCGATTCGCCGTTTTCCCACTCCCAATTCTGTCAATTCTGTCGACGATTATTGATGGAGATGACGGAGAACGACTGCCTCGGCCGGCGGTCTGCAGCGGAATGCGCATGGGGACGCGGAGCGAAAGCCCAGCGAGAATCTTCGAGCCCCAGTGACAACATTTCGCCCAGAGGCGTCGCCACAGGGAGCACCGAAATAAAGCAATGATCGTGCAGAGGAAGAAATGTATCTTTTATATTTGTAATATGTAAAGCGAGAATGGATAATAAGTTCTAGAAAAAGTTATAGTTGGTTTATAAAAATGTCTATGGATTTGAAATAAGTTAAGCTCTTGGGACCAATTTCCAATGATTTTGAATCTGCAGCGATGTCATTTCAGCATATAAATTTAATATTGAAGAGAAAGTGGTATTATTTTAATAATTCTTCATTTAAAAAGAATTAAATTTTTAAAATATTTGCTCATTTTCAGTAATTAAAGCAAATACGTATGCAAATATCAACATTTCAGTATTTCTCTCTGTGTAATAGCCACCACCATGCATGACGATCCACTGAGTCAGCCATCAGCCCGTAATGATGATGATGATGGCGGTGATGATGACATACATGTGCTAGTAAGTGTTAGCTGATATCGCTTTGTTTGTTTGTTTACTGCCTTCAGCGACAAGTCGACTGGCATAGCCCAAAATCGTCGTCAAAGGCTGCCTGTAACTGCCAATTAAGAACTTGCGCAGGCTTTTGATAGCGCTCTATAGATTAATTACGATCGAATGGGTTGGGAGCACCTGTACCCGTGTACCTGTGCGTGGGTCGCTGTCAAAGGTAATCGGCAGCTGCCCATGTGCTAATAGGGGCAGTCAACCGACTAGCGACATTATTTGTTTGCATGTATAAATATAAATATGACTTAAATTATTCGTTAATTGAAAGTCAGGTTAAATAACCAAACACCGTGCAAATAACCATATTGAGTGAGTAGTTGTTTTCTAAAACAAACAAAACAGGCAACAGCAACAGCGACAGATTCGATTTTGTATGAGATTAACCAAATTTGTTTCTTCTTAATAAATGTATTCATTATATATATATTTTCATCTATATTTGCTTAAGCGGAAAAAAATATATTCTAACAATAACAAATGATCAAAGTTTTATTTGTACTTCAGAGGTAGAAGTATCAAACTCAAGATTTCACATATTATTGCCTATTAAAAATAATTTTTATTTAACTACGAAATACTTTTATAAGTATTATGACTCTATCTTTGGATATATTTTGTTCATCCTCAAACCTTTAAGTTTTAGATTTAAATATTCAGTTGGCAAAAAGGATTTGTAGACAAGTTATTTTTAGTTTATAAAAAGTTTTTAATAAGGCTATGAAAGACTCAGATCAATTTTTTTCAAACACATTTACATTTGCTCAGAACGCTAAAATTGTTATTAAAGTTTTGCTTCATTTGCTTTGGTAAATATAAACAAAAAGGAGAGTCTTCAAATTAAATTGCGCCAAATTGCGTGGGTGTGTGTCTCGGCTAAAGGGACACTTTGTAACACTGTAGGTGGGCGTTACACAGTACTGTCTCAAGTTTTCGCAGCTTTTCGCCAATAAAAACAAAACAAAAAACATGGAAAACAATAACAATTGTTAATTCTGCAAAAATAAAAGTATTACTTATAAAAGCGCACAATTTTTATCACTTTTTTATAGCCGTAAAATGCAAAAGAAACCCTCCTCTCTTCACACCCCCAATACGCATGTCGGGCGGCAGCTTTGAATCGAATTTGTATATTTAAATATTCGCTTTTCCCCAGATTTGGGGCACCTTGTGTGGAAAAGCAGGCGATGCTAGTTCATGGCAGTTCACATTGTCGCTTCGGACGATAAAGACGGCCGATCCGGAGAGCTATACTACATAGCTGTGACTCGACACTGATTGGGATTTGGCGTGCCAATTGACGTTGCCTTTAGTTGTTGCTGTTACTGCTGCCTGTTGTTTGTTGCTGTTACGTAAATTGCGTGTTGTTTGTTAGTTAAATTAAATACTTTACGTGGTTGTGCGGTTAGTCGACGACCCGCCAATAACATTAGGTTCTGTGGCTGTATCTGTATCTTTTTGGGCAATTATTCCGCGCGCGAGTAAATCTCCCAAAGACAAGCGGAAGAGTTGAGAATAAGCGTTGTGAGTCACTTGAGAATTAGAGAATAACTAAAAAGTGCAGGCGAAAAAGCAAAGCTCACGACGCGGCGACGACGTCAGCTGTTGCCACTAGACTTGTTCTCTCTCCCTCGCTTCTCTCTGCTTGTTCTCTTCTGTTCTGTTTTGGTTACCTTTTTTGTGAGTTCGCCTTTTGCCTTATTCGTCGGCATGACTTCGTTGACATTGCTCCGGCGATCGGCGGTCAGCCATGCCCACTGGTACGCCCCCGCCCTCGCTGCCAACTGGCAGCGGCCTGTTCGAACGCTTCAAAGGCGCCAACAGCAACAACAACAACAACAACAGCACGCCATGCACACCTGTGGGCGGCCCAGTGCAATTTTCACAGCATCAACAGCGACAACTACAAAGACAGCGCAGGCGCCAAATGTGGCAAGCGGTGAGTTCAAAACTTTAGTTATGCAAATTGCGCGTGCAATTGTTGATTTATTACGCGGCAGCAGATAGATTGGATGCTTAGATTTCGTGGTTGTAACGATCTCTTAAAGGATTTCGAATTCGACTTCGAACTGCGGACTGGAAAAAGAGATCGATGAAGTTAATAAATCTAATTGGGAATATGAAGAAGATCGAAATGAGATCGAAAATGGCATTATACCGCAAACCTGGATTTCTTTTATTTTTTTCGGAACTTTAACCTTAAATAACATTATTTATGCTTTCTCAGCTATATGTTTTACCAATGCTTTTTTTATATGCCATCCGTTACAAAGATTGTTTTTGTCAGAAGAAATATTGCTTATACAGTCTGTAATCTCATTTGTAAACAGTAATACCGATCGGATTTGCGGGGTTATTTTCTAGTGTGAATCACTAAATTTAAACTTGGAAAGTTTGAAATATTTACACTTACTTTACTATTTTTAATACAACAATATTGTATATTAAGCTTTGAAATAAGAATTACCTAACTATGAACGTTATAACAAACTTAACAAGGCTAATTTTCTGCACAGCTGACAGCTGAAGTATTGAAAATTAATCTATCGTCTTAAATACTCTTTCCCTCTTTTCTTTTCCTCACTTAGCCGGTTTTTTGCAAAATATTCTCATAATGACTCCCACACGCTGTGCTATCGTATTTTTTTAGACATTTATAATTAAAGCAAATGCTGTTTTTTTTTTGCCAGTCCCCCTTCAACAAAAAAAATGTCTGACTAACAAGTGGCGATTGTGTTTATAAGAAAAAGGGGACTGACTTTTAATTAACGATAAAAACAATAAAAGGAATCGAAAATAAACTGGGACACGGAGGCGTCACTGGGTCTGCCAGGGAATCATTACTAATCGCATTTTGATTGCCTCGTTGAAAGCGCATCAAACACTTGTTTTTCCCTTTGTGGCAAAAGTAAATAAGCATAAAAAACACACAAAAACAGAAACTGGTTTAATTCCACTTGCCGCTTAATCAATTTAACACCCGCTGGCCGAGTGCGGATCGATCATTTTTCTGCCATTACTCAAAAAGGTGTTAATGAGCACAGCGAATCGGCCATAAAACTTGTTTACCTAAGCCCAGCAGTTGTAGATTATTACTAAATGAACTCGTCTACTCCAGATTGATTAGAGAGAGACTCCCGAGCTTTACCTAAATATACAAACATGTATTATTTTTTTTTTGACTGCCGATAAGATAAGGGGTCAGACGATGGAGAAATGGAAGTGCTTTAAAAGCTGGAGAAATACTTATTAATTAGCAACTGGAGCTAGTTATAAATAGACCATATTTCGCCATAAACTAAATAAGCAAATTCGAGTTTTAGCCATTTGAAACGAGAGTGAGTCAGGCTTTAAGTTGGTTGGGAAATAAATTTAAAATCTTTCTAGAACTACCTTTTAAAAACGGAGTATTGGTTCCTTAAGTTGTGTTTAAAAAATACTACAACAATTGCATCAATTGACTTCTAATAGTCCTTTAAAAATGACTACTAATACTAGTAAATGTAAATGTATGTAAATGTTTATTTTTCAAAATAACCCTTATTATTATAAGAGTTTGTATAATACATTTAAGTAAAATTTCACCCTCTTTCACAAATTACTGCTTCGGCTTGAATATTAAGTTTAAATACTTAATGATTAGTGGAATTCCTTTTAACTTTACTATGAAAATTAGTGCTCAAAGAAGTAATTGGAAAATTTTTGGAATTGTTTTAATTACAGGAATTGAATTTTAAAAGCAGTTAACGTAATAATAGCTTAGTTCAAAGAAAAACTCTTACTGTTTTAGCAATCTAGACTAAATATTCTAATAGATGACTATTTTAATTCGAAAAATCCCCTTTAAATGTGTTCTCCCCAATTTATTAAACAATTTTCCGCAAATTGGTTTAGCATGCAATGTTTTTTTCTCCTAATAATTTCAATTTTTTCGAGTGGTCTGACTGAGTGGCGATAAGATAAGGCTGGTAAAGCCATCAACTTAATTGGGCGTTAGTAGGGGGCTTATGTGTGTGCACATGTACCACTCTGTCACACTCGCTTTCATTGTGTAAGGTCAACACGATTAAGCCGATTTGGCCCAGCAAATACGCCCCACTTTGTCCCCTGCCGCCTTGGATGTAAATGAACTCCAATTGGTATGGCCTAGACCGGCAGTTTCCCATTCATTCAAGCGCGTTAATATCAAAGTACAGAAATAGGTTCCACAAGTTCAAGGTCATTACTAGCTCGGAAGGCAGGCAAACACAGATACTCACACACGGCCCACACACGCACCGCAAATAACTTGAAATACTCGCGCTCAAATAATAAATAAGCAGCGAATGAATAAATAATGAGTGTATATAGACTTGCGAGCCCCCTATAATAGACAACAGAGAGGCAAATCGAAGAATTATATATATACATATATATGTATGAAGACGTTACACGCGCTAGAACATTTGAGAGATTGCGGATCCATATCTGCCCAACCTATATACTAAATCAGGTAGAGAAACCGAGCAACCCAATGGAAGCCTGACCAAACATAATGCTGATAAGCATATTCGCATCAAGAATTTCGGGTTTGCCAGAAAATAAAAACAGAAAACAAAGGCAGTGTATGTGCTTAAAAACCAGAGGCGGGGATATTTGAAAAAAAAAAAATGGTTTTTGAAGGATCTTATCTTGGAGTTGCTAAAACCATTAATTAGTTTATTAATTAGTAGAGGAAGATATTTTCGGAAGTATTCAACAATAATCAAGGTAACCTATTTTTATTAATTACTTTAATATATTTTACCTTAAATCCTGAGATATGGAATACAAGCTTGAAATGTTGAGCATTTTGATATAATTTTCTCAACTCTTAAGGATTAGATACATAAGTTAATTTCTCATAAATTATATGAATTCAAAAATAATAATAATGAGAATACTACTGTTAAAAGCATCCAGATTTTTAAATTTCGTGTATATTTATACATATATAACTCTTACAAACTCTTACTCTTAACTCTTACAAAAGCATTTAAATAATTAAAAAAAAAAACTGTGAAAATAATTACTAATTTAAATATTCAGGGTGTCGTAACCCCTAAAAGAAACCCCTTTTGGATCCCACATCTGTGGCATAGAGAGCCCCTCCGGCTTGTTGTTTCCAACTGCCTAGGGTTTTGGCCTCTTCGTGGTATGGGTGAGAGATTGCCAGAACAATTAGACGTCCGCGTCTGTCGCCTCAGTCCACGTATTTATTTGGTGCTCGCCTCCAGTCGCTCATACGCCGCGTATCCGATCGCACACGTTTCCGCTCTTCGACGGAAGAATCGCTAGAATACTCCGAGTCCGAAAACTAAAGCAACCCTCTTCGTTCTTTTAGACCCCTCGATCCGCGCCATGTCTTCCGCTGCTCCCAAACTGGTGGCCGTCGCCGAGTCGCGTCGCTTCATGATCGACTGCTTCAAGGCCGTGAAGGTGCCCCAAGCACATGCCGAGGCCCAGGCAGATCTCCTGGTGGCCGCCGATCACCGCGGACACTTCAGTCACGGCATGAACCGCCTGGAAATGTACATCAACGATTTGGCCATTAATTCCACGGATGGCGAAGCCATTCCCAAGATCCTAAAGGAGACCCCAGCCACCGCCTGGGTCGATGGACTCAACGGACTGGGCGCCGTCGTGGGCAACTACTGCATGGATCTGGCCATCAAGAAGGCCAAGACCGTGGGCGTCGGCTGGGTGTGTGCCAAGGGATCGAATCACTATGGCATGGCCGGCTGGTATGCCATCCGGGCCATGGAGCAGGGACTGGTGGGCATGTCCATGACGAATACCTCTCCACTGATGGCGCCAACGAGGGCAAAGGAAGCCGCTCTAGGCACCAACCCCCTTTCCCTGGGAGCCAACGCCACCAATGGTGACAAGTTCCTGCTGGATATGGCCACCACTGCGGTGGCTGTGGGCAAGATCGAGATCCAGCGCCGCAAGGGTGCCCCGCTGCCCGATGGCTGGGCCCAGGATCCCGAAGGCAATGTGACCAATGATGCCGAGCTTGGCTTTGCCACTGGCTGCCTGATGCCGCTGGGAGGATCGGAACTGACCTCCGGCTACAAGGGCTACGGCCTGGGCGCCATGGTCGACATTCTGTCCGGCGTGATGTCCGGCGCCAACTACTCCACGCACGTGCGCAAGTGGACACATGCTGGTGCCGACTCGGCAGCCGATCTCGGCCAGGTCTTCATTGCCGTGGATCCCAATTGCTTTGCTCCCAACTTCGAGGAGCGAATGACTGACTTCAACGCCCGCCTGAGGGGCTCCACGCCGGTAAGTCGCCACTTTATTGTTAATTTTCCCAAAATATTTATATTGTTTTCCCTGGACAGACCGATCCCTGCAAGCCCGTTCTTTTGGCCGGCGACAAGGAGAGCCAGGGAATGGCTGCCGTCGATGCCGCTGGCGGTATCCAGTATCTGGAGAACCAGCTCAAGACCTGCGCCGACCTGGCCGAGAAACTCAAGATCCAGCCCCTGTCCTTTATCTAAAATGGGGACTAAACCAAACATGAGGAAGGATTTGAAATAGGGTAGCCTAGCTCACCCATTGCCATATGCTGGAGAAGCTTCTGCATTTCGCCGGACCAAAGCACTAAGTTACTTTACACTGCAAGAAATCTTGATATTCGCAACAGTTTGATTTGCGCTGGTGCTGATTATATTTTGTTACATATCCTCCCTTCGGACCCCAAATTCAACATGAATTATAGCAATTTATGGTAGAGTAAAGACTTGCAGTTGCACTTTTACAAATTTTTGTATGAATAGATTATAACTAAACTGTACATTTATCTGTTTTTGGCACTTGATAATATAGCCTTTGATGTGTTCAACAAATACGTAATTATTAAAATGAATACTATATATTATGGGTATGTTTGAGTATTTTCAGAATATTGAAATATTGCGAGCTAAATTGCTCGCCTATTGTGATGCTTAATTAATTAATTTAAAGACTAATTGTTTCGCCTTTTTTATTAGCTTTAATGGAATGAGAACAATTGAGCTGTAAATTTTTCTTGGTTCATCGAGTTCAGTTTCAATATTCCAGAATAACGTCCTGCAGAATACGTTCGGCGTCATGCTTATAGTCCTGATGAGCCAAAGCCGACTTGTATGTCTTTTTGGACTTGAACTCCTTGCACTTGGACTGGAAGACATACGGTGGCATGGGCTGGTTTTCACAGGTAACCACATGCACTGCCGACCGCAGCTCCTCGGGATCCTCTGTGACGCTCATGGACTTGATGAAGTCGATGAGGCGCTGATTGTCCTCGGTGAGACGACGCTTCTCCTCGAGCATCAGCATATTCTGGGCCTCGGCCATCGCTTGGCGGCGCCAAAAGTTCTTCATGTTCTTGTTGAGCTCTATCAGCTCCTCCTCGGTCATGTCCACGTGATTCTTTAGGTTAAGGGTGTTCAGCTTGAACTGCTCGACCTCTTCCACCTCGGTTTCGTCAAAGACCTCGCCGCCCAAGATCACCTTCTCCGACTCGGTCTGCAGCTTGCGACAGGTGATCGACAGGGCCAGGAGCAGCTCCCCGCTCTTTACATGCTTCTCCATTTGCTGGGATAACAGAAAAGATGAATAAAAGGAGGATCTTTCACAATATTCCCTTACCTTGATCAATTCGTAGCACTCGCCGGTAAGAATTCGCAACTTCTCGTGCGTGATATTCCGATCCATCTCCTGGTTGAGCTCGATCTTCTTGCGGACATTGGTAAAGTACTGGAACTCCAGACGGAGGTCGTTTAGCGTGGAGTTGTTCTCCGTATCTATGCGAACCATCTCCCGATGGAGATCCGCCAGCATGTTGATGTACTTGGCTTCCTCGGCGTTCAGCTTCCGAGATTCCTCCATGAAGGCCTCCTGGCGCTCGGTGAGCCAGGCGATCTTCTCGTACTTGTGGGCATCCAGCTCGGTGCTTCGCAGGGACTGCACAAAGTCGTTGAGCTGCTCCTGCATCTCTAACATCCGGAAGGCAACCTGGTCTCGGATGCGGAACCTGTTCTCGATCTCGGTGTTGACTCGATCATCCCGCTGCTCCAGGTAGATGTTGTAATCCTCCTTAAGCTGGTCGCGCGTGATGATATTGGTGGCATGGATAATGTTCTCGGCGTTTAGCTGCATGGCCTCCATCTCCTCGGTGCGGCGACGCACCTCGTCATAGTAGTCCCTCAGCATCTCATCCGCCTGCTGGGCATACATCGTCTTGATTCCGCCGAGCATCACGTGGAAGCAGTCGCGGATGTGGTCAGTCAGCTCAATCGTTTTGCTGAAGCAATTGACGTGCTGATCCTGCGTCTGGGTCATATCATCCAGCAGCATCTTGATGTGGTCTGACTTGGCGGAGATTTGGCGCTCCGAGCGTTCGCCCCAGGCAATCATTTCCTCCCTCAGCTCTTTTATTTTGATTTCGCGACAGAGCTGGTGCCACTCATCGTTGCCGCGCTCCTCCATGCGCTTGCCCATCTCCAGTTCTCGCATCAGAGCATCCTGTAAGGATTGCGGCAGAGATAACTCAACTACACAACTTTAATAAATAAATCATATTTTCTTTTCTTTTTTTTTCAGATAAACAAAAATTAAATAACAACAGATCATAACATAATATATTATTATGCATTAAATAGTAATTAATATTAAAGCAATGCACATCTTGGGGCCAACTGTACTTACTCGCATGATTAGGCGCTTTTCCGCGATAACGGCTAACCGCTTGGCCTCCTTCCGAAGAGCCTTTTTTTGGGCCTTGGTCAACTTGGGTGGACCTTCGGGCTCTTCTTCCAGTTCCTCGAGATAGTTCGAAGAAATTCGTTGTATATTCACCACAATGTCCTCCATTTTGGTTTTTTGTATATGAAAATTAAGTGGAATAAGGAAATATATATGATTTAATTATCGAAATATTGTTTTATCAAGATGAATTTGTGGATTGGCTGTAGTAATCTTGAAAGCTAATGCAAAGTTTTTGAGAGTTTTCAATAACAGAAATACTGCTGGGAGCCCAGAGATTATTCTTAAATTACATTTGTTGTTTTAAAAATTTAAATTACAGTGTGGCTGTATTTTAGTTGTTCTCCAAAAGCTTAGAAAAAGCTGAACCGCCCCGTAGCTTTGAGCTCTCTCTTTGAATTTTGGCGCAGCATCTAAAGCTTCGCCTGGCTGTGATTTCACTCAGTTAACACTCAAAGCTTGGCTCGCGCGGTTGTTTATACCTCGGACGACAGGAAAAGGACTCCCCAAAGAGGAACTCTAAGGGCAAATCCAACCACTTGGCCACTGAAGGCACGCCACATCGTGTGCGCTGTGTTTTATTATTTTTTTTCCCCGGCAGCAGTGCGCGCCTTGTAAACAAAAATAACTCTGCTGCCAGCGAGAGGGTGGTTTCAACCCCCCAAAACCGCCCCAACAAAGCCAACTACAAAGCTTCGGACTCCCGGCTGCGGACAAGGGCACTCCCGTCTGTCCTGGCTGGCAACTTTTTTTGGGGTTGCAGACGACGACGACGGTTGGCAAACAAGCTGCGAATGCGACTTTAAATGTCCATAAACATTCAGTGCAAATAAAATAAGACCGAGTACCTCTCGTATCTCGTATCTCGTATCTCGTTCTGCAAGTTTATAGTGTATCTCGTGCAACGAAAATGAGCGAATCCGGCGGCTATCAGAAGCTGCCGCCCGGCTGGGACTGCAAATATGATCAGGCGACGGGCAATTGGTGAGTCTCCGCTGAATGCAACCCGATGTCATAAATATTTATGCATGCATTAACCGCCTTATATCGTGAGTAAAAAGAGTGATTGGGGAACCTGGCTTGGGCTTGGGCTTGACTGTACCAAACAAGATGGAGCGGAACGGTACGGAGTGGAGCGAAGTAGGGAAACCTGATAGGTTGCTCCGGGAGGCGGCGGCTGATAAATTTGCGTCCCTTGCCTTGGGTGGGTTGCCTCCTACGATATTTGGTTGGGCGGGGATTTACGGTGGGCGGTGGGAGCTTAAGCTCTCCCGCCACCCGACGACTTTAAAATGCCAAGTGGGTGGCGGCGGGAGTCCATTAAAGTGAAGGTTTACAACGGTTGCTTTTACGGTACGAAAATTATTCAAAGGTTTTTCACCGAGTTCATCTATGAATACTTTTCCTATAAATTATGTGGGTTTATTGATGTGTATTTTCCTGGTTTTTATTGAAGCATAAATAAAACTTAAAGCCTATAAACCAAATTTTTTAATGTTAACAAAACATTTAATAAATTATCGTAATGTTTCATGACAGTGCTTAATTTTGTTTAAATTTTCTTACATTTTCTTATAAATCTATGCTGAAAACTTTATACATACAAAAGTGAATTGCTTTTTCATTTAACTAAAGTATTTTGTAAATTACCAAAGTCTATAAATAATAACCGAAAATGGTGGATTATTTCACAAAGGAAAAGCTGTATGGTTTTATGTTTTTAAAGTAATTCAAAGAGCATTCAATGTAGTTAATTCAATTAAATAATTTAAATCCAGCTAAGCTATTTCAAATAAAAACTAAATTTGTTAAGAATCCGTTTAAAAGAAAGGGTAAAATCATATAAAGATTTCCATATGTTTTCTATTTTAAATCCCTAACAAATTAAGAGTTCGTTTCTTATATACATACACGAAATGAATTTTTATTATTTACATAAAACAACTCAAATTGATGTAATATCCAAAACCAATCGAATACACATATCTTCAGTAAACAAATTTATAAAATGTGTTGATAAGCTTTAACCTTTGAACTCCCAAGCACTCAAGTGTGACCCCCATATATCTTTAAATGGAGCACTCCCAGTAGGTAGCTCCTTAGCCACTCCAACTGGCCCCGTTTTCAGATGCATAAATTGTGTCACTTCCGCGTCGCTGGATACCAGCGGGTTCTTTAACTCCTGGAGAATCAACTCCTATATAATCCCCAATCCCCCCAAGCGAGCTTGTGCAATTAAGCAGCCATCTTCAGGCTGGCTGTCATACGTTAATTCAAGGGGCCACTCAGCCGGAGACGAGTTGTTCTCCGTCGACTCCCATTCCCAAATCAGAGCTGAGATTGCCTGCCAAACGATGGAAATGATGACGACTGCTCGCCCGCCTTTTGGCAGCTACTTGGCACGTGCCTCGCTTTAGAGCTCCTCCACTCCCTTTACCCTTTACCTGTCCGCTTCCCCCAAAGAAGGCATAGGCATCAACATGTGGCCAGCATCCGAGTACGAGACAGAGTCCGAATCCGCGTCCGACAACCAACCACCAGTCAGCCGGCCGGCTGTAAAAAACCCACCCTTTTTCTGGGTGCTCCAGCCGGAGCTTTCGAATGGCCCTGAGCGGGGCATTGGGCTCTGAAAGGGAGGTCATTAGATGGCCTTTGATTCGCGCCAAGCTTATCATGTGCCACCACTCTCGATTCCCCTTCCAGCTATTACATAAACTACCTGACCAAGGCCATGCAGCTGGAGGATCCGCGCGGACGCAGTTACAGGCAGCTACAGAACGAGCGCTGCTCCACGGAGTCGATAGCCTTGCAGGTATGTAAGTCGCCTCGCTCGCAGTCCTTGCACTTATCGATTATCCTGTGCGCTCGCACTGTGGCGCTTTGGCTCCTTGCAGCAGATGGTCAGTCAGGCGCAGACCTCGCACAACAGCTCGCCGTACCACGTCCATCCCAGCAACAATTTGACGGCAATTCGGGCCTTTCAGGAGCGACAGCAGCCCACGCTGCACAACATCTCGACCAGTCCGCTGCTCTCGGCCTCCTCCAGGGGACACTTGGTAAGTGGATAACAAAATTGACAATAGACGTTTATATACGTGGGTTGTTTTTTTGTGAATTACTTCAAATATGGCATTGCTTTAAATTGGAGGAGCTTAGAAATCTCGCATCATTTTAGCTGTTATGACAATGAAAATACGAGTGTATTATATATTAAAGTATTGAAATCCATTTCTGTGCTTTGAATTCGTCGATTCCGAGTGTATCATTCTATATCATACACATTATAAATCAATACTGATTAAAGAAGGCCATAGAAACCTATTTAAGCAAAGTAATTCAATCAGACTTATATTAAAACTGTAGGAGATGTAAAAGTATGTTTTTCTACGTTAGAATAAATGGTAGTATTAAAAAAATATTAAGCAAAAGCCTTAGAATTTAAATGACCTAAAAAGGTATGCAATAAAATATTAATATTCTTTTTCTGACCTTCCAGGAAATGTCCTCACCCTTGCCCTTTCAACGGACTCGCTTAGGTCCGAATCTCTCGAGGCGCTCTACTATTCAGGAGACATCGTTTACCAACCAGGTGGAAACGGATGCGGTGGTGACCAAGATCCAGAACATGTTCCCCACGGCGGGCGAACACCACATCCGCCTGCTGTTGAAGCGGTAAGTAATTGGTTGTGCAACCCCACTCGAGCTTTCGCGCTAATCCCGCTAATCGCCACTAATCTGCGTACTTACGTCTCTGTCTTCTCACACGCTGCCTTGTATGCCTAATGTCTAACGCCGCTTAACTGCACCCACGATTAACCCACGATCAAACCCAATCCCACGCTTACTAACCCACGAACCCACAGCTACTATAACAGCGAGGCCGTCGTCATCAGCGCCCTGCAGGTGGAGAAGCACCCGGTGACCATGCCCGGTCCCTTTGTGACGCCACCCTCGCAGCGGCACTTGTTCCACAGCAGGTCCGCCTTCTACATGACACCACCGGCGCGTCGTCCGGACACGGCGGCTAGTCGCTGCACCTCGCGCACGGCCAGCCCCCTGCCCGGCGGACGTTTCGGTAGTCTCGTGAGCGTGCAGAGCGGTCCTGGCGGCCCCGGCGGTCACCAGGTGCACCAGGTGCTGCCCCCGGGGTCAGCTGTGCCGCCGGCTCTGCACGGATCGCCGCAATGGCGTAGCTCGCCCAGGCCGCACTCGTCGCCCAAGATGAAATTGAGGTTCGCTGGGGGTTTCAAATTTGGGATGTAATAAAGGGTGTCCGATCAACAGAGAGATGGATTTTAAGATTTAAAAAAATAACGCTTCTAGAGATAAAAAATCTATAAGGCAGAGAATTATATTACATTTTGGGAATGGCATTTTTCAATCTATCAATGTTGTAAGCTACTTTTTCGAAGCTACTTTCACTTCTCTTAAGCTAAACTTCTGTATAAATAATTAAATATTTATTCTTTATACCCTGAATAACACAAGTTCTACCCATCCTCAGATATATGAAGAACATCTTTCCTAAGGCGGATGAGGAGCTCCTCCTGGATATCCTGGCTAATGCGGACAACAACGTTCAGTTCGCCTCGGAGAAGTTAATTTCCCTGGGCTACACAAAACGCGAAATGCAGCAGCCACACAGACCTAACAATCGGCCACCTGAGTTGGCCCAGGATCAGCAGGCTGGCAGTGATCAGGGCACAAAGCACATCCCACTGCGTCCTAAAGAATACACCGAGGAGGAGAAGACCAAAAGTGAGTCTATACGCGGAATGAATATCGCCACTAATTTAATTTATTTTTAGTGCAAACGTTGCTCAAGGAGAAGTATCCACAGATTGCGGAGCGCATTATCTTGATGGCCCTGGAGTCGGTTAACTACGCCGAGGACCGAGCCACACAAATCCTGCAGATCGTGCAGGACGAGGATGAGCAGAGGGTCCAGAAGCAGGCTCCATCGAATCCCAAGCATCTGGAGCTAACCAGGACTACGGCAGACGAACAGGTGGACGGTCTGAGGACCGACGACAGGTAGCTCTTGTCCCGAAACCCAACTCCGATCATGGCCAAGGTCGTTGCCACCCGCTTTCTGCCCCACAAACACCCTTTCTCTCTTTGCCCCGCCGCTTTATACGTTTGTTAATCGACTGCCTATTTTCTCTGTGAACTTTTGTTGCCGCCTAATGACTAAACCGAACCCCCGAAACCAAACGTACCACACACCACTGTCCGCTTGCTTTGCGCCATGCCACGCCACGCCACGCCATCCGATTTCATCCAGCCTGCTCACCGTGGTGGTGGAGACCAAGCCTGCCTCCTCATCTGCATCTAAATCGAAGCCACCTCACAAGCGTCACATACTGCCATCCATTAATGTCACCACACCGTCGACGGCCACTACCCAGATCATTCTGGCCCCGGTCACTCCGATGGCCACTCCCACAGTGGAGGAGCAGGCCGAGCCGCCGCATGTATCATCCATTTCAAGCGCATCATCATCGCATTCTTATGCCTCACCCGCACAGTCACCCTGCACGGGCATCCTGCAGCAGGGCTACGAGCGCCTGACCACCAAGGGCATCCTGGCCAGAGGCACCACTGGCGCCGGCGAATCGAACACGCACAGCTACAGAAACAACTACAGCATCAGCGGCTACCTGCATGGCTCCACGAATGCTAGTGCTAGCTCCTACTCCTCCTACTCCGCATCAATGACGTCCTCATCGCTGGCCTCGGCCAGCTCGGCCCAGTCCAACACCTCATCCATTGTGAGGGCATTTGAAAGTCGGGCACGCGCCAAAACAGACTCACTGAAGTATGCCCGATACCGTAACCTATTCGCTAAAAGTAGACTCAGTCGTTGCGCATGCGTTCTTTTTGGAAGGATCTTGCATGGCAGGGAATCCTCTGTTTGGAACTTCTCCTATTTTGTTCTTATCCTGGTTGCTCGTTTACTTTGGCATGCCTAACGCTTATTTACTCTTTTTCAATTTTCAATTTAGTTGTTTAATAACAGTTTCACATTCCTCCATTCAGAATAAAGCAGCACTCCTCAGGCTTTGGCAACTCCCACAATTCGGAATCGGCGGAATTCCAGTCTATAATCGAACGAATGGCCAGTTTGGGACCAAATGCCCAGCTAACAAAAGGAGCGGATGAAAATCTTTTACTGTAATTATAATTCCTATTTTAAATTGCATTTCAGGAATTAAATTTTTATTTAATATCAATCTTGTACCTTTACAGAGCGGATTATGTGACCTGGAATGGTCCAAATACCACTCTATTGCAGAAGCACTCCACCCACGGATCAGATGCTGGTCTTTTGGCAGATCGCGGCTACAAGCCAACTGGCAGGAACACGGAACTGTGCAAAGGAGCCCAGGCTGGACTGGCCAAGGGCAGCATCTATGCCCGGGGCAGCAACAAGAGCCCCAACATCAAATGCAACTAGGCGGGATTATCCAAATTAGAGTCTCCGCTTGAGTGCCAAAGAGAGGAGATGAATCTTAGAGGCGACTAGCCAGGCACAACCCTCCAGAAATCCAGACTTACCACTAACATATGTGTCATTAGATGTATTTTGCTCTAAATATTGTATCCCGAGTCCCGCCCGCACACACGTCACGTGTAGATCTCCAAAAACCAAAAACACACATTCCATCCAAGCTCCAATTATTTTTTAGTAACTCGTAAATAAACAGACTTTAAAACTAACAAACTTACTTAATATAATGCGTGTCTGGAGAGAGGGATTATGTTACAGAAAAGAACGAATGGGCGAATCTAGACCTCGTCCTCATTGAGGAGCATGTTGGGAATGCCATCGGTGATGGGGAATACCCTTCCAGTTTCCGGACACTCCAGTTGGCCTTCGAGCACGTCGATCTCGAAGAGCAGGTGGTGGAGCTTCTGCAGGAGAGCTTCGTTCTCTCCAATGTTTTCTGGCTGTGTGGCGGGTATGTCTTCTGTTAATTCCGCCTGAAAGAGAATTTTCGAAGACACATATATCAGTAACATTTTTTGGAGGATTGTATTTCAATGTTAATTGTTTAATTGAAAATGTAAGAGAGTACATTGAGTACTGAGAGTACATTCTCCTATGGAGAACTTACCACCTGGGCGGCGCCATAGACCGCCGACCAGTCCAACTTGGGCAACAGTCGCTCCACAAATGTGGGATTGAATTCCGTCTCCACTACTTCCTTTTTGTTTATCTGAATGGTAAATAACATAAATTCCATAAAACAGTCAATGGAAATATCGATATAGAGACGATACGCACCGTTAGCTTCAGGGGGAATCCCACCTTTACGCCTTTGATGGCCATGGATGTCAGAAAGTTGTACGTGCTGAGCTTCATTCTGGATTCTTAAATCCTTCTTCCAATCAGTAATTTAAGTAAGTTTATTATTTCAAACAAATGTTTTTGCGGCGCACGTTGTATTTTTCTGCTTCTTTCTACGGTTGCCAATCACAATCAGTGGTGCCAACTATTCGTCGTCAATTCTAGCAGAACTAGCCAACTAAAATAGCTAAAGTAGCTAGATTTTCTAATAAATAGCAGGATGCATAATTTATATATAATTAGATTATTAATGTGGAAAATCTAAATAATTATGTTGATGCATATGCTTCTTAAAATTATTAAAAATATCTATTAAATAGCGAATTAATTCTGTAGACCTGCCACAATACCATATGTGTCCTATCGATAGTCCGTCAGCAGATAACGATAATTGGTAGGTGGCAACACTAATTTTAGTTGGCAACGCGGCGATTGGTTTTGGTTTTTCAACCCAACAACTGTCGCAATTTAACGTTTTTTGTCCGTTTCTAGATGTTATTTGGACTAAAAAACCATATAAAACTCTGACTGAGAAAGAAATAAAGGCGTGAAGGAAAGAAATGGAGGACATATTCCACTGGTGCCGCGAAGGCAACTCGATCCAAGTTCGCCTTTGGTTGGACGAGACGGAGCACGACAATAATCTGGGGTAAAACTAAAAAGAAAATTAACACTATCCACGGGCACTTTCTAAGTGCTTAAAGATATCACTGGAAGAAATCCCACTGCTTTCTTAAGCACACTTTCTTCCAGGGAACCCTATTTAGTCACTTCTCCGATACGCCCTATGTTTCGAGGCTCTTTCAGGCAGTGACGTCATGATTTATTCTTGTGTTGTGTAAACAGACGAATTAAAAATATATATGAATGTGTATGTTTGTGTTGTTTGTGCATATTGCGAGCATTAAACCTGCTTCCCACATAGTGATTACCTGGCCATCCAGATGTTTTTCTATTGCGAACAGGAATAACAATCTACCCTTGGAAGGGTTTATATTCCTAATTAGGATCTTTACTATTTATAGTATATGTGTATGGAATATTATTTAATTTAATGTTATTCAATTCTAGCGACGACCATGGCTTCAGTCCATTGCATTGGGTGGCCAAGGAGGGACACTCCAAACTGGTGGAGACCTTGCTGCAGCGTGGAGCTCGTGTTAATGCCACCAACATGGGCGATGACATACCACTCCACTTGGCGGCAGCCCACGGCCATCGCGACGTGGTCCAGATGGTAAGCGCTAAACACTTAGCCAAAAAGAAATTAAATTAAACCTACTTCACCTGTTTTAGCTACTAAAAGAGCGTTGCGATGTGAATGCGGTGAACGAGCACGGCAACACGCCGCTGCACTATGCCTGCTTCTGGGGCTACGACATGATCTGCGAGGATCTGCTGAATGCTGGCGCCCAGGTGGGGATTACCAACAAGGACGGGCACACCCCCATCGACAAGGCCAAGCCCAGTTTGGCCAAGAGGCTGCAGGATCTGGTGGAGAAGAGCGGTCGTGAAGTTAAGGTGATCAGCTTCAAAGAGCAGAGCTGGCAGGGCATGAAGACCAGGTCCAGGGACGCCACGCTGTCGCGCTTCAAGGGCATCAGCATGGGCGATTTGGATCTGCACACCAAGCTCTCGGTGACGCCATCGGGAGAAACATGGCGCGGACGCTGGCAGAAGAACGATGTGGTGGCCAAGATCCTGGCCGTGCGTCAGTGCACGCCGCGCATATCCCGTGACTTCAACGAGGAGTTCCCGAAGCTGCGCATCTTCTCGCATCCCAACATTTTGCCCATCATTGGCGCCTGCAATTCACCGCCTCACCTGGTGACCATTAGTCAGGTGAGTGTGTAACTTTAGCTATTACTGGTCATATATTAATGTCTCCTGTTTCCAATTCCCAGTTCATGCCGCGCTCATCGCTGTTCAGCCTGCTGCACGGCAACACCGGCGTCATGCTCGACACCAGCCAGGCGGTTAGCTTTGCCCTGGATATTGCCCGGGGAATGGCCTTCCTGCACTCGCTGGAGAGGATCATACCCACATATCATCTGAACAGCCATCATGTGATGATCGACGAGGACCTGACCGCGAGAATCAATATGGGGGACGCCAAGTTCTCGTTCCAGGAGAAGGGACGCATTTACCAGCCGGCCTGGATGTCGCCGGAGGCTCTGCAGCGCAAGCAGGCGGACCGCAACTGGGAGGCCTGCGACATGTGGAGCTTCGCCATTCTCATTTGGGAGCTGACCACGCGCGAAGTGCCCTTCGCTGAGTGGTCGCCAATGGAGTGCGGCATGAAGATTGCACTGGAAGGACTCCGCGTCAAGATACCGCCGGGCACCTCTTCGCACATGTCCAAGCTAATTGGCATCTGCATGAACGAGGATCCCGGCAAACGGCCCAAGTTTGACATGGTCGTACCCATTCTTGAGAAGATGAAGCGCTGAAGCCGTCGTTAAGTTGGAGCAGCGGATGCCAAGCCAAAATGTGCCTTGAGGAACCATCGTTTTGCCAACTAATTGTAATTACCACTTTGTGTTATCTTTGTCTAACTGAGCCTAACCCAAAAAAACCGAACCGAACCGTGCCACAAGGGCAGCCAAATGCAGTCGGAGCAAGTTAGAGCTTGTTCCCTGTTTAGAATTTATGTTTCTTCGTCTCACCTGATTTTTATATCTATGACCTACCGTCGATGTTTTGCGCGGGTGCTCGATTTTGTCGTACATTTTAAGTTCGATAACCATTAGGATCGTATTTATACAGAAAATATATTTGTTACTAATTAAACTGTAGTGAATTTTGTACCTAATCAGAGGCGGTACATGTTGCGTGGGTACAAAACGGCAGCAGCTTTTCCCATCGAAGCTTTTCCACCGCGAAGAAAAACAAAGCGAGAGCTTTCCAGCGGGGTGAATGCAGATGGGGATGCAGCGTGTGGGGGTCGGGTAACGTGAGCAAGGCGTCCCTGACCTGGTTTCCATTTCATGCACGCGATTGTGTGCAGCACGCGTGGGCAGCGCGAAAACTCGGCGGCAAGGAAGGAGAGCGCCGGCGTGGGAAATTCTCTCTGAGAGATATAGAAGAATTGTGTTTGTTTTTAAATTTTATATATGTTTGAAAGCAATTTTCAAATTCTTTAAACTTGAAAATACTTTTATTTTCCATCAATAGCATATTATAGGTTATAGATATCTATAATATCTATACATTTTTTCAGACTATGATTTTTGTGTAGTTCCACCTGATTTTCAAAATCTATTTTCTACTACTAATTTTAGTGTTTTTATGAAAAGATAATTGTCTTACATACATATTTGTATTTATGAAGGAAAACTCTTATCATATCCTTAGAATGGTTTCAGAAACATTCAAATTTATTTTCTATCCTATTAATGGGACTTACTTTAAAATGGTGATTTATTTATTTACGTTCAGTAATACCCAGTAGTTTAAGTAGTTTCAAAATGAATATATCATTTCTTATTTCTAATCCTACATAAATTATTTAATCCCCCAAATGGTATTTAATTTTGTGTCCTGCCAATAGTTTCTCTCTTGGCTGTTCCGGCTCTCACCGGCTTGCGGCTCTCTGTTTATGTTTTTGCGGCAACATTTTGTTTGGCAAGCTTGCACTGCAGCGAGCCATGTGATTGTTTTGCTGGCTCGCTTCGCTCTTCCCTCGGCACATCCTGTGGCAGGTCCTTTTTGCTGGTGCTGCTGCCGCCGCTGCTGCAGCTTTAAAAACTTTTTGCTGCATTTTGTTGTCGTCGTCGTAGTCGCCGTCGTCCTGTCGCTGTCGCTATCGCAGTCGCTGTCGTAGTCGCAGCTCAGAGTCGTCGGCGCTTTTCGGGCCCAGAGGCTGGTCGCTCGGTCTCCGGAAAAAACGGCAAAACTGCAGTGGCCAAAAGCCGATTTACAGTATTCCATGCCAGTTATGACGGCAAACAGCATTTCCGCAATAGCCAACGACCCCTCCATTGGTTAGAGTTTAGTGTCTCCGCGGTACCATCTCCGAATTGTGGCAAAATTTCATTTTTTAACTGAAGAAAAGTGAGAGCTTCGTGGCGTTTGTACCCAAAGTGAAAGTGAAAAAATCCATGGCATCTTTTAGGCGCAGCGCATAAAAGAGACACTCTCCGCTTGGAAGGAACTCACCAACTCACTCACTCACACATTCCTTTGGATCGGCGGTGCAGCTGCTTAAATGTATTTTAGTGACAGCTCTCAACAACGGCCAGCCCCTTGGAGGGCCGGCAATCCATGGAGTATTCAAGCACCACGGGTTTGAATCACATCATCGCCGAGGAGGAGGACCAACCGCCGCAACAGCAGCAGCAGCAGTCCAACAAAACCAGGTTAGTGTTTATAAATACTGGCTGGGCTCACAATGTGTGCCCCATTTTTATGACCACACCTGAGAAGAGCCAAAAGGGGGCTTTATGGTTATTTTCTCTTTCAATTAACCATACAATTGGCCGGGATAAAACGGGGAGCGCGGAACGTGAACGTGGAACTTTGGTGGCACACACAGTTTTGCCGCAGTTACTCCATCATTCATTTGGCTGACGAGTGAGCCACTAACCTACTTCCTTCACACACAAAAGCCGCAGTTGCAGCAGCATCTGCTGATGTTGCTGCTGCTGCCGCCGTGCTTATTGTTGCTGCTGCCACAGATGTTGCTGCCGGCATGCCACGCCCACACAATGGGTCTGCCGAGATGACGTTGGCGTTGATGAGTGAAAATGTGAAAATTACTTGGCAGGCTGATGGAAATAAACGACGACAGTGCATAGCAAATGACGAGATGCACTCGCACTCCGCGGAGCCTATGCCAAGACAAGTAAAAGTGCCCCCCAGTTCATCCTCAAAGCGATCGATGGTCGGCTGCATAAATCAAAAGTTCCATTTTGCAGATTTCAGCACTGCAGGAGCTCAGGAGCAGCGGAGACGCCGAGTAACAGAGGAGCAGCAACACAAAGAGGCACATACATACATAGAAAGGACACGAGGAAGGAAATGGAAAAGGCTCGGAAACGGGCCCGGGCACGGGCACGGGCATGGGCTCCTTGCCAACCTAAAATGCCACATGGGCAAATATTTCACTTGTGCTTTCGAGCGGCGCATTGAAAAGCGAAAATATTGTGACAATACAAGCAGCAACACAACAGCAGCAGCAGCGGCAACATCAGTGGCAGCAACAGCAACATCGGATTCAAGTGGAAGACACTTGGGTGAAGTGCATAACAACGTGGAAATATTGTAAAGGCAAACTACAAGACAGACTAGTAGCTATGGGCATTTCCATCAAAAATGATAATCGACTCAACGACTTAATTTTAAATAAATAAAAATTATATCTCATAGTCGTAGAAAATACTTTCCGAATTAAGATTAAATATCAGGGAGTGCAATTGCATTGACTAACCATAAGAAATTTAAGTTAATTATTATAAAAAAGGTATATAAATATTTATCCTCTTTGCTTGTTATTTTGTAATATTTTAGATTAAACTCAAAAGCAGAACCTAAAGCATTTCAAAATATTATTTTAAAAGTATTCTAAATAGCTTTTACTTCTAAAGAAGTACTCTACGAGCGGAAAGTTTTCGTTCTATGGAAATGTCCTTATAACTACTAAATGCAATGACAGCAACAGCATCAGCATCAGCATCCACAAAGTGTAAAAAGGACATGTGGAAATGCGAAAAGAAGCCGCAGGATGTGAGAAGATGCAAAGCATCTATTGATTTTTATCCCTTCGGGGCGGTTGGCTTTGGTTTGACTTGGTTTTGGGTCTACCCCAAGCCACAGGGCGTATGAGTAATGCCCCAGCCAGTTGAGCTGCGTATACTTGATTTATACGGCTCTCTTGAGGTGGCGTCGCTGCCCAGCTGGAAGTGCAATAAATCTCGAGATTTGCATAGACTTTAAAAACCTGAAAAGCAAAAAAAACGGACCTCTTAAATTTCAAGCACCGCACAACTATCGATCAAAGTGGGCTAAAGTCGGCCGGCAATATGGACTCCGAGAGTTTGCCACCCACAAGAACGCTGATGTTCAATAAATTCTGTGCCGGTCCGAACTAGGGAAAATGGCCAATTACGAGGCAAAACGAGTTAAGAATTGTGCCAGCAGAGAGATGGCCGATACAGGAGCTCCCCCTCCGCTCCCTCCGCCCCGTCCGCCTATCTGTCTTGTACATACATATATATATCTCTTGGAATAAATGGCCATAGTCGACTGCACTTAACATGAATGGCCATTTTTCCAATCAATTACGTACAATGGGGGGAGGCAATCGGAGAAGGGTCTGGACAGGATTATGGGAATGGGGAGGCAGTGGCACCGGATAATAGAGGAACCAGCTGAAAACGTGCAAGGCAAATAAACAAAAGGGGGTGGATGGGAGGAGCTCAAGGGAGGTGGTGTGTGGTGTGCGGCAAACTTGAGCTAACGATAATTATTTGAATTTTTAAGCAACGCTGCGGCTTTTCTCTGCAACAATTACCTTTGGCATTGACATTGTGGAAACTAAGGGAGAGAAATTCCACCGGTCACCACCTCATTGGGAAATGCTCTAAAGGAAATAGGGGATTAAATAAATATATTATTAATAATTTTAAGACCAATATAATAAAATTTTGTTAATGTCTTTAAGTATTGACTTTTAAGGTATTTTGTTAATAATAGTAAGGTTTCTGATTAATAATAGAAAGGTTCTCTTATATGAAGGGTAATCCTTTCTATGACTTTTCCAGATTGCCTGTGATTGGGAGCTACTTCAAGATTGAATCGCCGACCGGATCGCAGCCGATCGCAGCTTTGGGCACCCAGCGTTGCCTCAACACGCCCCCGACCACGCCCAGCAGTCCGTTGCGGGAAGCCCCTCAGAGTCCTTCGGACGGACACGTCTCGTCATTGAGCTCGCACTCCGGATCGGGATGCAGTGACATCCTGTTGGGTGAGTCCCTAGTTTGTATCTATTTCTGAGGCCTTGGGCCTTGGGTCTTCGGACTACCACCTCCCACCATTCCATTTGATTGCATTTTCCGACTGACGGTATTTATAGCTGCCCACGAAACAGATCATGACCCAGGCAGCAACATAAAAAATAGGAGAAAAATCAAAGGAAATAGGTGTCGACGAATGGCAGCAGCATTTTATTGAGGTTGCTGACATTCGCCTCTAGCTTTTCCCCTTGGCTTTTCCCTTCCTGCTCCAAATCTGCGCCACTTTTGGCTTACTTTACCCTACATGCCACCAGCAGCAGCAGTGAGTGGGGAAAAAAGTTGGCCAGAAATACCAGACCGTCCTGCCACAATCTGTGCCACATTGCTGTCATGCACTTGAAGAAAAATGTTTAGAAATTATCGATTGATCGTTTTTAAACAATTATAGTTTTAGTATTGAAATTTCAACTGTTACTGTAAAAGATTAATGAATTCTATTTAAATTAAATATGTGAAGCAATTATTAAGTTTTGATAGAATTTCATGTGCTAATGTGCATAAAATAAAAAGTAATTTAAAGGGTAGAATTAAGTTTTTTGAAATAATATGACATTTCAAGTACTTCTACCTGATTGTAATTCAATGCTTATCATTTAGACTGTTAGGATTAAATGTATTATAGGACACAATTTAAAATTTTAAGCAGCTTTTTTAAAGTAATTTTTATATATGCTTTTAGTTCTGTTATTTACTTTATAAATTTGGAAATATATTTTTTTGCGGTGCAACACTTCCCATTTCTGCCGTGACGTTTGCATGGGCATCTCTCTGAACTTTTTACATTCTGTATTTTGTGGCATTCTGACACTGCCATGGCGTCATGGGGATGGAAATGTAATAGTTTTGAGCTAGAGTTGCGAATTTCAGCTGTTTGCTGTTCCGCTTAAATTTGAGCATTGTTTGATCTTCGGCCGTTCGCTATTTTTCCTATGACTGCTGTCTGCTTCTGCCTCTGCCATTGCTCCCCCTTTCAAGTGATAATTTCTAACGCTCACCAAAGGCGAAGTTTGTTTACCAGCCGAGTGCTATCAAAATCAGTCAGGCCTCAACAACAGTAGCAACAAATGGTGGCGAGCGAAAAATGCGCCAAGTAAACAAGAGTCAGCATTCAAGAGTGTTTGAGATCTAGAATGTGCACAGGAAACAAAAACGTAGAATCTCGAATGTCATGGATTCTTTATTATTGATATAAGAGCAACTAAATCAAATTTTAATAAATTTTGCAATATAATACTTTACAAATATTGATTTCGAACATAGAAAATCTAAATTCGTCTTTATTTGGTTTTAGGTTTCAAGTACAAAACTATAATTCCCAACAAGGTTTTCGGATATCGGCTAATGACTAAGTCCCCAGCAATTTGGTCTTTGGACAATATATTTTATTTATTATATAACATTTTAATTGTTATATCCTTGCAGTGTATTATAATTTTAGCCAGCATTTTCTTGACCAGCATCAACAGCCGAGTCGATCTAGGGATCTCTAGCAAAAACTAAATTTTTACCTAATTTTTCAACATTTTATAAGGGGTTACATCGTTAACATTTTTAAAAATGTATATACTATTTCAATTTATATATTATCTATTTAATATGCAGATTTATTAAACCTAGCTAAAATTAGCATATATTAAAGTATTGATTCAAAGAATGCGAATATTTTGTCAGCATTTCATTTATATTATTAATATTTTTGATCAAATGACACGATAGCTGTTAAATTTCCTGTGTAGAATCTAAAGGTTGTGTCGGCTTTGGCATAATAATAGGCAAATAAATAAAACTAAACGCATTTTGCGCCACTTTGCCGCTACCGTTGTTGGTGTTGTCGTTGTTGAGGTTGTTGTTGTTGCTGCCGCTGCCTCTCAGATGTTGCCCATGACGTTGCCCACGATAAGTCATTGAACTTAGAGCGGCAACGTAGAGCCAACAATAGCAAAATAAATAGAAAACGCGAAAAAAAAATCAGCAAAGAAGCCAAGGCAACCGCTCCTCCGCCTTCCATTCGCATCTCCCACCCCCCTTTGATGATAAGTGAAATGCAGTAATATTAAGAATAGTGACCACCGCACCACCCCCCATACCGCGCCACTCCTCCCCTTATCTCCCATCCACAAACAACTCTCACTCAAACACACACACACACACACACGTGCACAGCGATTACACAATCTTCGCGAGCGGCATTTTCATTTTTCTCTTCCTGGTTCGTCGTCATCGCACGTCGTTGTATTGGGGAGCCTCTCTGGCCGAAGTGCCATAGTGTGTGTGCGTTACCGAGTCCGCGTCTGTGTACAGATCAGGTTTTATCGCCCAACGCAATCGTACACGGAGAGAAATGTAGGGAAACATTAGTTAGTTATTTTCAAGTAGTCTTGCCTTAAGCTTGACTGTTTATTTAAAGTAGGTTTTTATTTACTAAGTAAGATATTTTAAGTTAGCGTTTTTAAATTACTTATGAAGTACCAAAAAGTAGGCAATGAAATTTATCACAACAAAAATCAACCACTAATTTTTAAATTTAATTTAATTTAATTTTCCTGATACGTAATTCTATTTCTTATATTTTAATTAAATTAAGCACTCTTTTCTTTTGGCCGTTCTTGATTTTCAGTGTTCTGCCTTGGGTGGATCGGTGGGGGCGGCGGTGTTGTTGCTTCGATTGGTCGCTCGGCCATACTTCGGCGCTGACTTTTCGCTTTCGTGGAGGATCGTGGATATATAGCTTTGGCGATCGCCAAGTTGCCGTTTTCTTGTTATTTACAGTTTCTGGTTGCTTTCGCTGCCCGTTGGAAAAATGGCAAACTCTAGCGTGCAGTCGCTGTCGGCGTTGGAGTTGCTTCTTGATGTTGTTTTTGTCGCTGCTGCAGTTGCAGTTGCTGCTGTTGCTGCTGCTTTCGCGGCTGATCATTGACTTTCGTTGATTCCCTTTTGCGCCAGGCATTCGTCATGGAAATTGTGCAATGCTTAAGGGAAAATGGGGAAAAGTATGTCCGCATTTTACCCAAAAGAGAATTGATTGATTGATTATTATAAATACATTTCAAATTGTATTTTATATAAAGGAACTTCCTGAATTAATTCGAAAGAATCTATTTTTTCTCCTCATTTTATGCCAAAACATCCACACTTTTACTAATTTTCCGATGTATCAGCATTGGTCTTCCCCCATTTATTACAAATGATCTTCAAAAATGTATTTTTACGATCGTCTTCTCTGTGCCAAAAATGAGGTTTTTCACTTTTTTTGCTGGCCAAAAACACAGCTGCAACATGCAACATTTAAGACTTCCGCATTGCTGCAGTTTCTCTCCCACTTGGGCAGAGAGAACCCTATTGCCGTCTCCATTTCTCCACATCTCAAAGAACTCTCTGTCCCTTTCCCGCTGAAGGTTCTTTGACCCCCCTTTAAGGCGCCCCCACTTCTGCTCTCTCTCTCACACACACAAGCCCACTCCCCAAGCGCTCTATTGCCTTCTTCCTCAAAGATAGTGCAAACTAAGTAACGGTTCGCTCTCTCGCTCTGCGAATTCGCACTGGTGTGTGTGAAATTGATCTTGAGGGGAGCATATGTGTGTGTGGATGCACTTGGAAGTCGACGGCTCTGCCGAAGTTTCTGCCGCCGTCGACTGTGGCAGCGGCAATAGAAATTGAAAATAGCAACCAGGAAAAGAGTTTTGCAAATGGAAAAGTGCAGCAGCAGCGGCAGCAGCACCAACAACAACACTGGCAGCGAGAGTGGCATTGCATGTTGCTCCTGTATGGTTCTTGTTGTTGTTGCAAGCGGCAATTGTTGCTGCTTTAGCAGCTGTTAAGTCTCCAATAGCAGCTGTTAGGATTACAAACGGTGCTGTTCCTGTTACAACTTTTCCTGGTTACTTTAAGGGCTCCAAATATTGAGTTACTGTAGTCGAATTAATTAAACTTTTTACTTATTAACACATTATAGTGGATATTGTAGAGAAGCTGTTGTATTGCCTTTATTGCAACTAGAATTTTTTTTGCTCTTAAAATTGAGGATTTAATAATATAATATTTATTTAATATTGTTAGGTTTAAGGTTACCATTATTGTTGCAATTATTATTGTTATATTTAATTTTACTGCAGAAATAGTTCTTAAGCTTTGTTTTTTAACTTGGGATAATAATAAAAGAGAATTCTTTTCTTCCTTTCGCAGTCTGTTTTGATCCTGTTAATGTTTCTGTTCCAAAATGGCTGCCAAAATGGCTATTAGTGCATTCAAAATGGCTGTTATTTTCGCTGTTACTGCAACTAGAGCAGCCGTTCTAGCTGCTTTCTTTTCTTGCTGTCGCTGTTAGAGTTCTTGTTGCTGTTAATCGTACTCTTACTGTTCCTGCTGCTGCTGGTGAAGATTAGAAAGATAGAGGCTTGGAGCCAGCAGCACATTGACTCTCCGCTCCTCCCGATTTCCCGACTTTTCCGCCACTCTCCTCCAGAGATTTCGCCTCGTGCTGCGGCGGCGGCGGCGACGGCGGCGCTTCGCAGTTTTCCCACTCCATTGGGCCACACAGCACAGCCGCATTCTATTTGCCTGCTCTTTCCACACTCGCACACTCGCTGGCACACTCACTGGCACACTCACTCCACTCACCAATACACACACTCCGTCTTGGCGCGGCCCAGGCGATTCTTGTTCTTCTGCGTCGCTGCCGCAGAAATCTTGTGTCTTGGACTTTTGCGGGCTGTGTGTTGTCGTAGGTTCTGCAGTTTGGCTTGGATTTTCTGCGGCGCATTTGGAGCGCTGCGAAGTTGGCGCTTGGATCTCGTCGAGGCGAGAGTTTCTTTCCGATTTCGATACGTTCGCGCGATCACTAGCAATCCACCGATACAATATGTTCGATTAAAAACAATGAATCGCGTGTGTACGCCCGAATATCGCAATTGGAATACGCTTGAACTTGGAACGCAGGACTTTGAAAACAACACGGAAGTGAATTGAAAATTTATGCCATGGAATGATTACGATTATGACATAACAAAACCATTATGAATGCAGAGTGCAAGTGACAACTTCAAAGGGAAAAGGGGGGAAACAGCAATAGAGAAAGAGAAATGGGAGTTTTTCATCTTATGAGTGATCATTTAATTAAAAAATTTACGAGTATAAAGCAGACAAGATAGCAAGGGAATTATGCCTAGAATCATTATGCTAAGAGGCATTAGAAGGGGATAGGAAATTCAGACATTTATGGGTTATTTTATAGATCTCGTATCAAAGAAACTTAAAGAATAAATAATTTTAGTTTGGCTATCATCTCAGAAAATATTAAAGAAATATATTAGTAATATTAATTAAATTCAACACGAAAGAAATAAGCAGTTAGCATTTAGTTTAAGTTGCATAATTCCAAATACCTAATGCTCTTTCAACTTTAGTATTCATTTAGAATTAATAATCAAATAAAAGGGTTGAATAAAACTTAAATGAAATACTTTCTAAGGACCTCGTTTCGTAATTCTATTCCCCATTGAACCGCAGCTGTAACCCATACAATTTAGAGACTGTAGCGAATTGAGAATCGAGAATCCTCTTAACGAATTCCCCATAAAGTGCCAAAGGACAAACGAATCGCAAGGACTTGCCACAAACATGCTGAGCGGGCGCCATTGCGGGTTGCCAACATCGATTTCCGCGACCAGGACGATGCTGAAGATGATGGATGGCCAGCTGACCGGACCGATCCAAGCACCATGGATGTATACCAAATAGAGCTGGAGGCACAGGCACAAATCCGCTCCAATCTTCTGGTCGACACCTGCGCGAAGCACTCGGCGGAGCAGCAGCAGCAGCAGCACCAGCTGCAGATCAAGCAGGAGGATCTTATCAAGGACTTGGCCCGGGAACAGGAGCAGCCCAGCGAAGGAGAGGAAGAGGACGAGGAGGACGAGGAAGAGGAGGAGGAGGAAGACAACGACGAGGAGGAGGAGGAGCAACACGAAGAGTACGACGACGAGGCAGAGGACGAAGAAGCAGTAAACCCAGAAGGAGTCCAACTTCCGCCGGTCAATTTCAATGCAAATTCGGACTTTAATTTGCATTTCTTTGACACACCGGAGGACTCGTCCACCCAAGGGGCCTACAGCGAGGCCAATAGCTTGGAATCGGAGCAGGAAGAGCAGGAGGAACAGCAGCGGGAGCATAGGGAGCTCCAGGACTGCCTGAGTGCCATTGAGGCGGATCCCTTGCAGTTGCTGCAGTGCGACGACTTCTACGGGACAGCGACTCCGGTGGAGCCGCATCATAACAACAAGCAACATCCGCATAAGGAACACCCACACCCCGGACACCAGCAGCATCCGCATCCTGCACCCCAGCAGCCACACACACAGCTCCTGAGCACGCTGAGCAATGGTGGAGGTGCTCTGTACACCATCAGCAGTGTGCATCAGTTCGGTCCGGCCAGCAACAACAGCAGCTCCCCATCCTCCAGCGGCGCCCACGCCTCGCCGGACAGCGGCTGCTCCACGGGATCGGGATCCTCGGGATCCTCCTCCTCCTCCTCGGGCGCGGTCTCCTCCTCGTCGTCGTCCAGCTGCTCGGAGCATTTCGGACGGTCCGCCGCCACAGGCGCAGTTGTCAGTGTCAGCAGTGGCCACTCTCATACATCCTCGTCAGCGATCAGCTCCACCAACGGCAACGCCGCCAGCCACCCAGCAACATCTTCATCTGCTCCGCATCTGAACAAAGGTACACAGAAAGAAAAGCAATTCCCTTCCCAGGGAAAGTCAAAATGTCTTATTTAAATGTGATTTTAACTCGGGTTTTAAATTGAAAAGGACTTGAAATTGATTTGGAAGTAACAACTTTGTATCCATCTCTAAGATACAAAATATCTCTGAAATTGGCATCTTTTTTGAATTCTTTCAATACATCATTTTTTCCGGTGCCTGCGACTCTTCCGTGTTGCTGTTTCTGCGGAGCATTGTTGTCGCAGTTGAAAATTATGTTCAATAAATTTGCATTCATTGCATAACAGCCACAACTGAGAGTCGTTCGGGGCTTCGGTTTCGCCTCCTTTTGAGGAAACTATTAAAGCGCAGCATGAAAAATGTGAAAATGAAAATATAATGCCCTGTTATTGCTCGGTTGCCGTTTCTCTGCCGGCTTTCCTCTACAAGGAAATTGCTTTCATATTGCTGCAGGTCTGTCAATGCAGTGGCCAGTGCGCGATTGGTTGAAAGCAATTGAAAGGCAAGGAAAAAATGTTTTCATTTTCATAAATCGTCTTGAATTGCTCTAGGCTTTTCGGCTCTCGGATTGCCTTGGATATATGGCATTAGGAAAGGCCAAGAGATGGCCCGAAGTTGTTGACTGCTGTAATGGGAAAAGAGTACTCAGCCGGGAAATGCAACACAAATTGCATTTAAAAACTATTACGGTCAGCTGTTCTCTGAGCTTGGAAAACTAAAAGGAAGTTAAATTGAGGATATTCGGGATGGGAAAAATAAAAGAGGAATTAAAGAACATAAAATAATAAAATTAGATCGTTTTGCAGAACCATGTACTTAAAAAACCACAAATATTTACGAGGAAGAAATAATCTTTTATATTTTTACATTGATAGAATTATTTAAGTCCAGAAATTATACTATTTTCATATGAATTCTTGTATAAGGCCAGACTTAACCTTGTCCACATAATATGACTAATTATTTAGTACAAATACTTCTTTTTTACTGTGCACCATCCTTTCGTCATAAAACCCATAAGCACTTGAACAAATTTGTCTTGGCAGGAGTTGCTAATTGCCTGGACTTGCAGGCAAGGATTCCGCTTTGTGCCAGTTGCCACATTTAATTGCAGCAATTAGTGCGGGCAGTTGCAGGCAAAGTCTAATTGCAAGTAAATTAAATCCGTGGGTTTTCGGGCTGGCAAGGGGGGAGGTGGAAAATACCGACTTTGAATTCATCAAAAACCCGAGGAAAACTCGACTGCTTTTCCACACTCCACCCTCCGATTGATATCCGTTGGCTGGCAGTCGTCCATGGCATATTCCCCTCCACTCAATCAGTTGTCTTCGTCCAGATAAATGCAAGACATGGAAATGGAAATGGCGGAGGGAAAAATCCATGGAAAATATGAAGTCTTTGTCGTCTATCGTCTGACAACGCGGAAATGCCAAGCCGTTTTCCCGCTCGCTCTTTCCCTCGGCCGGGTAAACAATGGCGTTTCAAATTGTCAACTTACAAAAGCCACCAAATGATTTGCATTTGAACGCGGCGCGAAAATGAAAAGCAGGCACTTGAGTCTCCTTTTGGCTTTTCTTCTCTTTCCCATTCCCATTTCCATTCCCATTCCCATTCCATTTGCCGCCCGGGCAGCGGCCGACGACATTTTCCAGACAACGATGGTGAAAATTCAATTTGCAATTGCACAAGCGCGTAACGTTTCCCCTTTTTCCCCGCTTTTCATTTTTTTTTTTTTTTTGTGTTGTATATTTTGTACTTATTTTGCCTGTTTGTCGGCGCGTGCAAGTTGCACATTAATTTCATTTTGTTTCGCAGTTTTGAGGTGTGGCAACGCCAATTGCCACAGCGGCAACTAGCAACAGCAAATGCACACGAAAAAAAAGAGTCTTAAAATAGTTTTTCAATTAGTGTTTTAGAAGAACTAAGCTAATTAATATTTAATAATTTCAAAACTTGAGTCGCAGGGATAGCTAAGCTTTGAAGGAATTATATATAATCAATTTTGTACAGTAAATAACGTTCTGTGACTATAGAATTTTCTTCTTAAATTAAATTACAATTCGATTTACTTCTTTTATTTCCAAGTGTACAGTTCAAACTCCGCGCTTAGTTCATTTGCCTCTCTTCCTCTTGCATTAGAAAAGCGAAAAATAAAAGCAAGAAATGCAGTCAAATTGAATTCGAAATGAAATGCCAAGAAGCAGGCATTTGCTGTCTGGCTCCAGTTTTTCCTTTTTTCATTTATTTTGTAGTTGTTGTTGGTGCTAGTGCTGTTCCTTTCCTTGGTGCAATTTGCAATGCAAATTTTCTTTCGGCTCTCGCAGTGAAAATTGTGCGGCTGCAGTTTTTCCTACTCGTGACTGCCTCTTGTAGGCGGTGGCGTATACGTGATTTTTTGGCATTTCTTCTTATCGCCCATCGCCGGGGAGTTGAATGCACCCTGCAGGTAGGCTGTTGCATTTCAGCCTGATTGTTAAATAAACTCTGGCTTAAGGATGATTGAGATTAAGTTGGGATTTCGCCGAAATCGGGTAATTTGGCAGCGGGGAAAATCAACTGTCAACTTCATTTATTTAGCCATATCTTGCGACAGTTGCCCATTTATTGTTGTTTTGCCCCATGTGTTGCAACTTGCACAGTTTGTGAGTGACAGCTGGGCGATTTCGAGTGGGTGATACCAGGGTGACAGCAAACTCATTTGGCAAATGGCAGAGCGAAACTCCTTGTGGCACACGGGGCGTATGAGCAATGGGGCAATTGCATAAGCGACCAAGTCACTGGACAACTTTCCAAACAAGAGTAGGAGGAGAAGGAGATGGAGATGGAAGCGAGTGTAAATGAAACAAATGCATTTTTCCCTTGCAGAGCAACAGCAGCAGCCAACGACGACACAGCTGCAACAGCAGCAGCAACAGCAACAGCAGCAGCAACAGCAGTTGCAACATTCGCAGCAACCATCGTTTGGCTTAGCGGACAGCAGCAACAACAGCAGCTGCAACAGCAACGGCAGTAGCAGCAACACCAATAGCAACACCAACACCAACACCAACAACAACAACAACGGAGTCTCCTCGAAATCATTTGTGCCCTGCAAAGTCTGCGGTGACAAGGCATCGGGCTACCATTATGGTGTAACCTCCTGCGAGGGTTGCAAGGTGAGTTTAGAGAGTATTACAAAACGTTTTATCCTTATTTTGCTTATCCAAACTATTATTTTTTAGGGTTTCTTTCGTCGCAGCATCCAGAAGCAGATCGAATACCGCTGCCTGCGAGACGGCAAGTGCTTGGTCATCCGGCTGAATCGCAACCGCTGCCAGTATTGCCGCTTCAAGAAATGCCTCTCAGCTGGCATGAGCCGCGATTGTGAGTACTTTACCATTTACACAGCTCAGCTTGGCCCGGGGAATATGATTAAGCCAATTCGCCATTCCCAAATGCCAGACATTTGGGGCCAAAGTGAAGGGGAGGCTGCACCTTTCGGCCCGGCCTCTTGATAACTTTATTAGCCGCGAAACCGCTGGCAGATTTCTGCCAAAAGATCGCAGATTGTGTCAGTTGGTTGTCTCGGGAAATTGGCAACTCCAAGATAAAGCTGCGGAGGAGCAGTTTATTCTACAAAAACAAAAAATACAAAAACAAAAAAAGACAAAATAAATTCGTTTAAAAGAATGAGTCAATTTGGGATTAAATAGTTCGCACGTGAAAAGTACTAAAGCAAACGATTTCTTAGATAAAGTTTTACAGAGTCTGGAATTTAGACAATTTTATTAATATTTTTATGGAGTATATTTTCTCCTTAATTTTTGCAAATTTTAATGATGTAACCTCTTATCATATTTTGCAAAAATCGAAAAAATTATGAAATTTTATTTTTTCCCGGACATGGCTAGATTGATTCAGTTTTTGATTCTGATCAAGAATATATAAGATTTATGGGGTCGGAAATGACTCTTTCACTTAATATAAAAAAACAATTTTTGGCCGATCTTAATTAAAGGTTTCATGTCTTCCTTTACTTTTAAAATATCAAGAAGAATTTGTATACTGCTTAACTATATATTGTTTTTATCATTGCAAAAGGAAGAAATTAATGTAATGGATATTACCAATTTCAATTCTTAAAAACGAGTGCAAATTATTGTCGGTATGCAAACCTGAATATTCCTTCAGATACTTTATTTCTCTATTAATTTAAACAATGCTGTAAATCACATCTAATACAATCCAAAAGAAAGATATTTATAATTTATTAATATTTCCAATTTTTTTTCTTTTATCACTTGTACGTATTTTAAGCTTCTAAAACAAGTCTTATTTATAACTAAACCTTAATTTATTTTCCCTGTGTAGCCTTAAATACCAATTCCTAATGTGTTTCCCGTTTAGGCTTGATTTCTGTACTTTCGGTAATTGAATCAGCGAACATCGGTTAACCAGTTAGCTAATGCCTCCTAAATCGTAGTAAAAACCTTTGGTTAAGATAATTTGGCCATTTAAAAACTCAATTCCCGGGCAGAGGCCGTTCATCCAGCATTAAAAACGGGTTCCACGATCCGCCCAGCCTTTTAGTTAAACACCCATAAACAACTCCGGACTCCGGACTACAAACTGCAAACTGCAAACTCCAGACTATTTGAGGCGGGCGGAAACCACGGCTTAACTGCAGTTCAACTCGAGCTGGCCGCAAATTTAGCCCGCTGCCTTTTGCCAAATACTTCCTGTAAGCCAAAGTCCATGGAATCCACCCACGGACCGAGAGCGAAATTAGTTTTTATGACTCTTGTCAGCAGCAGCAACTGAAGCAACAGCCACATTAGCAACAGCAACAGCAGTATCAGCAACTCCTACAGCCACATCGTGGAATCCCTTGGCTTTCGAATGCAATTTATTTGAGGTTGCACAATTAATTGCTTCAAGGGAGATCGGAAACAAGAGAGCGGCACATAAAAATCGGCAAAGCAATGTTACTGTCACTGTTGCTGTTGCTGTCATTGTTGCTGCTGCACGCGAGCAACATTTATTAGTCGCGTCGTCTATTGGCTGCAACATTTGTTGCAGTTTTTTATGGCTCTGGTCTCGCCAAGCCACAAATGCGGCCAGCCCATGGTGTTGAGCAAACATTTCCTTAATTTTACCCCAACGCCCACGCAGCCAGAGCCACAAGGAAATCCACGCGATCCACACGACAATGGGAGCTGGATTTTCCCTCCACTTTATGATTTTCCACAGCAGAGATTTTTCATTTACTTGGGAAACTTAAACTGACTTTAATTGTTTACTTAAACCGAAATAAGCTTTGAATAATATCGAGCTGATATACATTATTTTACATTCAAAATTCTTCAACTTTAGAGTTGTTATATTTTGAAAGTAAACATCATTGCTAAACACTATAAAGCTAAGATTTTCCTATAAAAATCATATATTATTTAAATTAAGCATTCCCTAAAGTATTTCGTTCTGTGTAAATAGGAAAGTTAAATCATTTATAAGCCTTCAAAATCGTAGTCATATTTTCTTAGCCCAGATTTATGATGTGCTTTGTTTCAGAGCAAACGATGCTGCATTTCAGGGCCAAAAAACTTTTCCATTTTCCATATTTTTGCCCCTCCGGGCACTTTAATACTTCTTTATCCCGGCAGGCAGATAGTTTGCGACTTTTCCTTTGCCCCCATGCATATGGAAAGTTCAATAATTTACTTAAATTGCTTTTGTGGCAAGTTTGCTCTGCAGCTCCTGCGATGTGGCTTTCGGTGGGCGGTTGCCAGTTGCAAGTTGCAGCTTTTAGAGGCGCCTTTTGAATTTTGCTTGCTCGGTTTAATTAGACTTTGGCACAGAGTTTGTCGAATCGGATGGGGTTATTATGGGCAATGGCTTATGGCAATCCTGCCGCAGCAGCAACTGCCAATTGCAGATTGTCGATTGCTGTTGCTGTTGCTGTTGCAGTTGCAGTTGCAGTTGCAGAGTCTGCCGTGAGAGATTTTCCAATTAAGTTTGGCTTGGAGAGCTGCTAAAAACGCTGAACCCTTATTTTAGCCACTGCACAAATGTTGGAGTTTAGGACTTTAATGGGTCAGACCATGATTTCCCCCCCTTTGCCGCGCGGAAAACAAATGCAATTATGCTGGCCCCATGTGTATATGAGTGGGCGTGGCATGACTTTTATTTAATTTGCAAAGCTTTTGTTGGCAGCGGCAACAAAGTACGAGTAAAACGAGACAACAACAAAATAATAAAAATAAAGGGAAAAATAGCGCGGCTCTTGCCAAGCTAAAATCGCAATTCGGATGTTGCAGCAGCAGCAACAGCAGCAGCAGCGGCAACGTCAACAGCAACACTTTGCATGGCTCTACTGGAATTTGGGTCAAACATAAAGCACATAACACAAACACACTGAACACGCAGCAGCACAAAGTTTCCATGCCGGCATGCGGCATTTTGTGGCAATATCAACAGCAGCAGCATCAACATCTGCCTCCCTTTCGCCAAAAGCCAATTATTCTCTCACACAATTTGATAAAGTTTTACTTGCATTTAGTTTTATTTGCAAATTTAGTTATTTTCTTATTTATTCAAGACAACGGGGGAATTGTGAAGGGAGACTGAAGTTCTAACTAACCCAAGTAACTACTTTAATCTCACGAATAGGACTTTTAAAAAGACTTTAATCCAGCCATTATTTTTAAAAGGTAAATCTAAGCTGAAAGGTTTTTCACGGTTTTAATACATGTAAAGATAAAAGTTATATGATAAAGGGAATACTTTTCCATTGCCCTGGGCCCCACAGGTTATCTGCTCTAGAAACATTATTGAACTCTGCTCCGAAATTCCCTTTCTCTGCTTCCTAAAGAAAAATTATGTGAGAGGAGAAGATTCGTCTAGAAGCTGGCTAATTGAAAAGTTAGCGCACTTTCTTTGCCTTAATTCCTATGCTTCTATGTTCTAATGCCGCCGTCAATCAAATTGGCCGCAAATCAAAATGCAATTAAAGCCATAGTAGAAGTTTTTGGACAAACTTCTGGCTGTTCGCTGTCTGGTATCTGCTTGGGAATGGGCACAGAGCTGTCGCTGCCAGAGGCGACATCAGCAACAGCAACAGCTAGAGCAATCTCAACCGCCAAGGCGACACAGTAACACAGAATCAAACTGCTCTCGACTCAATTGTAGTCAATTTGAAAGCAACCTATCAAAGTATCAAATGTCAGCTGCGAAACCACGACTCTTGACTCTTCTAGACGCCCAAAATCGAGTGCAAAGCGAACTCTGCCAAAAAAAAAATCAGAAAAGAACTCCATGTTGCTGCTGCGCCTGCGCAGTGACAGCAGCAGCGGAGAGCAAGACGGGCTTTATAATTGCGGCGTAAACTGGGTCAGTTACCGGGGCAGACCAGGCCAGAGACCGGGCCAAATCCAAATCCAAGAGCCCGAGTATTGTTGTCGCCGGTTCTTTGGCTTTTGGCCATTGTTGCTGCTCGCCAGCTCGCTCTGTTTTTGCGCTTCTGACAATCGTCTTTTGTTCGTCTCTCTTGGCTTACATTAAAGTTAAGCCACAGTCACAGTCACAGTCATTGCGGCTGCTGCCATTGTTTTGTGCCAACTTTTTATTATTTGGCAATAGGTAAAACGGCAGTGGAGAATGTTTGGAGAATATTCTGAAAGAATTGCACGAACTTTGATTGCCGGCTGTCAAAAATTGCATGAACGCTTCGTGGGTTTAAAAATACATTTTATTTCTTGTGTCGAACGATTTAATTTTATTACAATAAAGGTTGTGCCAGGTTCAGTGTGGAAATTTTCCATGAATTGCATTTTTTATTGTGCCATTTATTTTAATTTAGCAATAAATAGTTAGCCCTATAAGATCTTTTAGTAATAAAAACGTTTTTTTATTTGGAAAACCTTAAAATTCTGGCAAAGTCGAATTGTGGTATTAAAAGGGCCCAAATATTTTTTAGGTCATTAAGAAAACCCTATTATCTTGAAAAGACAAAGAAGTCTTATTTGTTTATGGAAGAACTTATTTATATAAATATATCTTCCCATTTATTAATTCAAAAATAATGAGCTGGTCTTGGAAAGACTAAGAACTTTTATAAATTCGTTAAAGATTTAATATTTTTGTACCATTTTATTGTTATTTCTTTCATAATTGTTATTTATTTCAATATTAACAACATTGGTAAGAATAAGATCTCTAGTAAATTCATGGACTTCCAAGAACTTTAATCACTGAATTATTTTTTTATTAACAACAATTCTGTTTAAGAGTTGGTTTAATTACTTCGAATTTAGTATTACTTTTACTAGTACAATTTATTTTATATATTTAATACCATTCTATTTATGTTACACTTCCCTTAATAT